GGCCTATTAGTTTGTAAATGAACATTTATGAGAGGTAATGAATAAAAAAAAAATAACTGAAATAATTTATAATTATATACTTTGAATGCGTAAAAAAAGTACTATTTTTTTTATTTTTGAGTCAAATTAAGTAATCGTCACATACATTTGAAAACCCTCTCTTTCATTTTATTTTCTTTTTTAATTTTTCCTATAGCTATGTGAGCAAAGACGACGATAAACCAAATAATAAAGAACGTTTTCCTAAGAAAAGACTCTTTTATATATATATATATATATATATATACAGTACCGACCAGACACAACCTAACAGAAAGCGAACCCAGAGCGCACCCCGGGTTCGCTCTCTGGGTTCGCTTCGGGTTCGCTTGGGGTCCGCTAGTGCTGACCCTGAGCGAACCCGGAGCGCACCCGTAGCGAACCCGCAGCGAACCCAGAGCGGACCCAGAGCGAACGCCGAAAGCGAACCCCAAATTCAGTAGCGGTCCCAGAAAGCGAACGCGCGTTCGGTATTGCGTAACAGAGCTGTCAATCAGGATTATCGATTAACTCATCAGCGCTTTGACCAATCAACATACCGAACAGGTCTGTCAATCAGGATAAGTGATAAAATGCGTTGACCATCAGCGCATCGACCAGTCAACATGCCAGTTTATAATCTAAACATTGTACAAGCAAAGCGTGTGAATGTAGTCTAAAAATATCATTAATATGATTTTTAAACATGATTTAATATTTATATACTTTAATTCTCCAGACAACATGCAATTTACACATCTATTTTCATTACTTTTTATTTTTAAAATCTATTGATACATTATATATTTTTATTTTCCAGGTAGCATGTTACATGTATAGTTAAATATTTATTTTCTTTATGTTTTTAAAATCCATTGATATATAAATATATATTGCGTAAATTTATCAGACAATGAGTACTTTCATTTATAATAGAAAAAAGAAGATAATAATGGTTATAACATACGGTCTTCGATAAATTATAGAATTTTATTATCTCAAGATACAGTATACGAACATTAGTATAAGAACAGTTAGTATAAGAACATGTGCGTGCTTTAATTTAATTATTTTTTATTAATTATTTCAATTTACATGCACGTTTTGATTTATCCAGATCAACTTCGAAATTATCGATCTTAATAATTGATCATGAAAAAAAATTAAATGTACATTGTACAGAATAAATGTGCATTATGTCAATACGTAAAATGGAGAAAAAATCTCATTTAACTACTATGATATTTTTTTAATTAATCTTTTACCAAAATTTAATAAATAGCTTGATTTAAATATTTGTATATGGGGAAATATTATTTTGTCAATTTTAATTATCCTACATGTAGACCTTACATTGTATGTTTTTGAATTTTTGTAACTACTTGCAAGTCAGTCAAAAAAAAAAAAAAAACAAACAAACAAACAAACAAACAAAAAACAAACAAACAAAAAAAACCCAACAAAAAACAAAAAAATAACGCAAAAATGCTTATCACTTTCCTTCGCGTCGAAATATATAATTATACAGGTTTACATGTTCACGAACCTCTTACATGTACTACATGTAATTTTCGAAATACTTTATATGAACATAAAAAAATACACTAGACGGGTACGTTTTGTACTTGTGCATGAAAAGTACACGTAATTCCAACATTAGTAAATTGAACTTGCAAAGATACCTTAATACGAAAACGTACATATATTTTTTCATTACATAGGTACCTGTATTTGAACTTTGTAATTCTCATAATTATTTAATTTCAACACTTTAATAATTGTAGTTTCAAAGTGAAGCCAAGGTCATCACGTATCGGTAATCATCCACCTGTTTCGAAAATATTGCGGGTATTAAGAGCAATTGCGGTGGGTTTTTTAATTGACACTTGCTAGCTGGATGTATACTGTCTCCACGGTCACGGTATACCTGAGTATATACTCCTTCTACATTCGATGCCCCTTAAGTTACATGTACCTCGTCTGGGCACGTTATCAATGAGAAATACAATTATTATTCTTTTTCTTTTTCTTTTTTTTTTGATTTTTGAATTTGGAAACGTCATAGTTCTTTGGTACGTTGCATTAAGAGTACATGTTCATGCATGTAATTTGCTGCAACCTGAATGCTGAAAATCAGTAAAATACATGTAGCTTTACGAGAGAGAGAGACAGAGAGAGAGAGAGAGAGAGAGAGAGAACACTGTATATTATTTGAAATTAAAATCGCTACAACCGGCCCATAGAAACAATTCAAGTACGGAAGGGGGGGGGGGGGGCTCATCGAAATTAAAAAAAACAAAAACAAAAACAACAAACATCGGGCGTTATTATCTTAATTTCATCTACTTAATCATGCGAATTTACAGTTATTGAATTCTTGTTTTGTTTGTTTTCTTTCTTGTATTTATTTATTTTTAAACATTTAGAATTTTGTTTGTTAACATGGCGCTCCAGTATGTACATGTATGTAGTGGGGCGGGGGGGGGGGATCATGAACCAGTAAGGAACACAAACTATTCAAGTGATCATTTACATGTATTTGAAAACAACTTAAAAAATATATATATATTCTTATCAGTGGACCAGCTATTAGTTTTTGTTTGTTTGTTTTGGTTTTTTGATTGTTGTTGTTTTTATAAGTCTTCCGTTAAACTCGCCTTATAAAACAATGATTTATAGCATGGAAGTAAATTATAAATGATCTGTAAAACGAAACTCATGTTACACTGTATGAGAATTTTTAGTGATTATCTCGACCTACATATACATGTAATGGACGACAACCTAGCTTAAATATAAACTGCTAAATATGAAAACTTAGCATTTTACGTGTACAGTATGTCACAGCTATTTTATAGATAAGATCGTAATTCAGTTGTTTGTCTTTCAAACATTTAAATTACGATTTAGCAATTGCAATTACAATTGGAAGTTCAAACTTATTTTAAAACGCATGAATAATATAAACAAATGAATTTGAAAGCTTTTTTTTATTAAGATACTCTTATCAATTTCACTCCATCCGATATATCGAAAATAAATTTAACACCTTTTCTTCTTTTTTTTTTCTTTCGAGATATACTTAGCTTGTAAGTTAAGAAAAATAAAAGTGATAATTCTACGTCGAATGTACGGTGAAATTCTTGAAAAATTATCAACGTTCTCCATATTGTCACTTACATGTACATGTTTCGATCGCCATAAAAACAGTAATGATCGATTTCACTACTGTATTTGGAATATACAAGGGGCGGGGCTTACTGGCGGCAAGATTAAAGCGGGGTCCGCTTCACGCATGAGTGCGTAAAGCGAACCCGGAAAGCGAACGCCGGGTTCGCTCTAGCGGACCCAGAGCTGACCCCGAGCGAACGCAGAGCGAACCCGAAGCGCACCCAGAGCGGTCCCAAATTTTCTGAAAGCGAACCCGCAGCGGACCCCGAGCGAACCCAGGAAGCGAACCCGGGGTGCGCTTTGGGTTCGCTCAGGTGTTAGGTTGTGTCCGGTCGGTACTGTATATATATATATATATATATATATATATATATACATACGAGGGTTGACCGGTAAAATCGTGGACAAAGCGTTTTTATCGAAAAATAATGGGCGCACTAAGATGAAATTTCAACAAATATTTATTTATCATATTTAAGCACATCTTCATTTTTTGGATAAAATATAGACAAAAATAAAGATTTTATTAAGCTTGAATGCGAGAATTTGAAATGGGAAAGTGGTATAGACAACACACGAAAAATGGCGACGTTTGATGACGTAACGGCGCACCGGAGAGCAGTTCAGATTGTTTTAGATGCAGTTATGACGCCCTAAGAGACTTTAAATGACTATAGAAGAAAAAAATATATAAATATCACTATATCTTTAGTATACAAGTGAATGGGAGTTTTTCAAGCGGAAGCCTTTTGATCGAAAGTCCCTGGGTAGAACAAAACATTCAGACAAACAGCTACTGGCAATAGTGAAAGATTATGTTACTGTAGATTGTCGATATAAGATAACCTATTTAGTTGAATTATAGCGAGAATACTAGGGCTGGGTATATGAAAATTTCTTATTGCGATATATTGCGATATTTGGAACTGTATTGCGATATGTATTGCAATATTTTTATAACAGTTAAAATGCTCTTTTCTTATTTTGTTAACCTCCATTTATAAGCAGAGTGTATGAAATGTTTATAAATACGTTGTAACAAAAATGTTCTAGTTGATTTCACTACAGTTTGGATGTAGTGCAATGCAACCAGAAACATTTACTTTTTGGTACTGTTTGGCACAATTAAAAACGTTTCTGACTTCTTAAATTTCATATTTTACTTCATAAATCTAAAGCCCAGTCATTTTGCCTGTATATCGGTACTGCAAAAACGTGTCGCAATACGATATTTTTTGTAAACGAATCGCAATATACCGGAATATTGATATTATTGCGCAGTCCTAGAGAGTACTGTCAATAACATACTAATACATGTAGATCTTCAGAAGATCCGATGTTTGTGCGAGATTGGTTGCTCTACTGTTTATGGAGGAATAAAGGGAAACTAAAGTATGTGCATCAATGAAATACCCGAATTTAAGTGGGGCTTATCTAACTTTGTTTAGCAAAGAGGAAACGTGATGCTGTTTTTGACACTTTGACGTTATCATCCGTGCGCAATAAGGCAATACCACTATAACGTAGCCTTTCATAATCTGTTAATTTTAACATATACCGATTTGAAATTTGCTATGTATATTGATGAAGAATATACAAAAGGGAAATGAAAATGTTAAAACGCAGTGATGATTTTTTTTTCACTCCAGACAACCTGTCCTCAATTTTACCGGTCAACTCTCGTACATGCATATTCTCCTGGTATCGAAAATACACATCTATGTTTGCAAAAATACTCTACATTATGAATATATTGAAGAAATATTTTTTATAAAATCGAAACGATTTGATAAATATTTCTATAATTAAAGGAATTAACCTGCCCTGGGGGATTCTTTCTACGATCTAGAGGAGTCTGTAAAAACAGTAAGTAAACATTGAAAGAAAAATAAAGAAAAATACAATAAATAAACAATGACTAATTAAGCGACATATTCTATACTCATTTCTTTCTAAGCAAGATATTATATTAAAATTCTATTATTCTAATAAAATGTTTTCAAAACGTGTTAAGAGCCATTCTCTGTAACGACTTGAACTTTTATATAGGAGCTGTGGCACGCATAGTCTCAGAATTTCTCCAAACTATCTACGATAAAAGTCTTTGATACCGTAAACTCAAATCAGGCAGAAATTGGTTGCTACGTGTCATGGTTACCATGGCAACATGTCTTAAAGTTTGAAAAAAGGCATTTTTCAACATGTTCAGAGTCCCCCAGTTAACGTTTGCAGCAAAGCAAACAAGTGGCAATGATTGTTTCTGAAAGTTGAAGGCCTGATGTCTTAAATGCATGATAAACATGTTTGGTAAATCAACTATTAAATACGTTACTATGGAAACAAAGTATTCAAAAGTAATAATTTTGCTCATCTAATTTTATATAATCATACACTTAAGAATAAAAAAAAATTTAGGTTGAAATGCAAGCAAATAATAGACAAAAGATCCTTGTAACATATACCAAGGAAGAAATATGATATTTCTTATAGGTTAGCAATGGTTGCCATGGTGTTAATACCAAGAAGATATTTTACATTTACTCTCTTAGTGTATAAATCTAATCCTATCTTTTTAAAAAGCATATTTCTATATAACTAATAATCAATTTTTAAAGATGTTCATAAGATGTTCATATGACCCTAATTTTCACATTTCAAAAAATTCAAATTCAATTCTTTAAATAGAGCGTTGCTATGGAAATAAGCCGAAAAAATATGCATAAAAATCTGAAAAATATTCTGTTTCCTTGGATACGTACCCTTGTATGTAGATTCCCAAAACTTTTATGACTGATAATTATGAACAACTAACAACTGCCACCCAATATCTAACTGGATGCAAAAAGCTGGCACATAGGGTTTAATATTGGTATAAAATTAACAAAATCTAACATTATCCCTTCTTGGTTACCATAGCAACAGTGTTGTATTTTTCAACAAACTTGATCAATATATGATATTCAACTGTAGTTCTACCATTTAAGTACTATTTAAGGTGCGTCAAATAATATGTTTCTTGAATAAAAGGTAAGTAAATTCCTAAGGCAGCAAAAAAAATATCACTTTAAACAACTGGTACATTGTTTCCATGGTTACACTGCAAAGTAACAATTAATCCCAATTTTTCTTATGTTGTTGGTGTTGCAAGGTCCTAAGGACGTATATGTGCCAGTCATGAAATTTGTTGTTTTTCCTGACGATAGTAGCATTAACCCAATCTTAGCAACACATTTTGCATGGTAACACTGTGTTACCATGGCAACCATGAAAATTATTTTTAGAATACCTAATAATATCAATTTATACTAATAATAAAATTAGAATACCTAATTATTTAAGGTCAAATATTTATATTGTTTTTTCTTAGGTTGTTGATTGAGTTTCATCATTTAACATCTATCATTAGTGAATATTGAGCGTTTTTCTGCATTTTTCAGCATCTAAAATGTATTCCAAATGTACCCATGGTTACCACTTACTTAGAGATAAATTCTAAATAGTTCCTTTATAGCATAAGTGGCAACAAGGTGTCAGGTTTTTGTGAGAATTGTTTGTTTGTTATTCTTAGTCTTTATTAAGGCTAAATAAAGATTCAAAGTAGCTGAAAATCTCAATTTTTCAAGCTTTTCTGGCTGTTACCATGGCAACCAAGACACATAGCAACGAAATTTTATTTGATATATGTTTCTGGTGTCAAGTTGTAATAATGGGCAAAGTTTCATCAAAATCGGTGACCATGCGTGGCAAACAAGTTTAAGTGGTTACAGAGAATCGCTATTAATCTTCTCCTCGGAAAATGTTTCCCTGTTTTCATTTCTTTTTTATATCATTTTCTTTCATATGCATGTTACATTATGGATACACATGTAGAAAGTATTGAATATGTAGTTTCATAGGGCGTGGAAAAAGAAGGCGTAGAGCGCCGAATATTTCAAAATCTCTTAAAACTGTATTTTAAAAAAAATCACTACTTATCAAGGAACATATGTTTTAAATATGACAAATGCTTGTAGCACAGAAGTCAGAAAATTCAATTGCTTTAAATATTTCTTCATTCAGTATCGATATAATTGTTTTGTGGCTATGTACTTCAGTTTATGGACATCTCACTTCACTTTGTTCTAGACAATCTGGCCTTAAAAAGCCCTGTTATTATGAGCTCTGTATTTGACGATCCTGATTATGCCGACTTTCGACATGGTGACGGTAGTCTCGCAGTGAATGGAGAAGTAAGGACTGATGACAAAGAGTGCGCTCATACCAACACTGAATCTCAGCCTTGGTTGACAGTGGATTTACTCGACCAGTTTTACGTCAGACGGGTCGTATTTGTAAACAGGAAACATGGGGGTGATTTTTTTGTTTATTTGTTACACATGTATTGAATCGAAAATGTTACACTTATATATAGGATTCCACAAACTGCAGATGAAAGGCTGCTAAGATATTCATAATTTAGATAATACACGTATATATCTTTGAAACATCTCTAAAGCAGCAAGGTTCCAGTAATCATATTGATATTCAGAGTAACAGTGTACAGTTTTATAGTTTTGATTAAATTCTGGTTACCTCATAATGTAGAAAGTTTATGATAAATCTGGTATGAACAAAAATCTTCATTAGAACAAAAGTGAAAAATCTTTTTATAAGCAATATGCTGAAGAACAGCATGTTTATCTTGAAGATGATTCAGATTAGCGTCGTGTCCCCTGTGGAACTTTGTTGTTTTTTTTTTTTACTTCGGAGCACAGTTAAGGCTGCAGTAAGGAGGCGGGGCCTAATTTTTAAGGGAAATGCTTACTATGACATCACACAAAAATATAAGTTCTTCAAATTACCACAAAATGAAATGATTTGCTATTTTAAACTGTTGAATAGCTTTAAACTTCATCAATACTAACTAGTGCATGCATTATTGTCGTTGGTTAAATCCCACACAGCAATATATAAACAATTTACTGATCGCAATGCACTTGTCAATGTGACGTCATATCGTAAAATTTGACGCAGTTTGTATGCAGTGAGAGGCGGATCAAGTTATATTTATACAATGAAAAATGTATTTTGTAATTAAATAAAATATAAATTGTAGATATATAAGAGGCCACTAACTTGAATGCGATGTTTATTTTATGATTTTATTTATATATTTCCCGTACATTCCCTAGACAAGCTATACTTTCGAATATTTGTATGCAGATTCATTGAAGGGCAATAGAAGGGTCGTAATTAATCGATATATTGCAAGGGCATACCCTCAATGAATTATGACAAGCTTTTACACATAAACTCAAGAAGTATGAAGATATTTGAAAAGTGCTGCGAACCTGTTGAAATCTTGCAAATCAATTAATTATATCTATATTTAATGTACTTGACCAGCAAAATATTCAACATACGGTCTAACAAATGTAATTTTAGCAATTAGATAGTAGAATCTATATAGGTTCGCAGCACTTTTCACAAACTACAAAGAGTGTTGAAAATGATTATATGTTAAACTTAGATTTTTAACTTGGTTATGCCCTTGCAATATTAGAATTTATAGATGACCTCAATACTTCAGGTATATTTACTAAAATCACGTGACTGCCACATCACATGACAAGTCTAAATAAGAAATCTAATCGTCCTCAACATGTAGTTTTCAACCACATTGCATTTGTCCGATAATAATAAAGTCCTAAAAAGAAACGCAATCCTTGTAAAGAATGTATTTTCTATCTAAAAAATTCACCGATATTTCCATTTAGCACCTTAACTGTACTGCGTTGTATGAAGCCAGTAAATTTGTTCTTTCTACCGTGTGTACATATATAAATACAAATTCTTGTGATGTGATACACAGGATGAAAAGCCAGGTTTCCCAAATTTGGAAACCCGATGGAAACATATGGGAATCGTGACATCGTAGTTTCCATATAGTTTCCATTTTATGGAAACCACATAGTGGTTTCCACGTAGATTCCCGATATAGAAACAATTCAACCTGTGGTTTCCCGTAAGTTTCCCAATATGGGAAACCGCGGAAACATGCAGTAGTGGTTTCCACGTATATTCCCGATATGGAAGCAATCAACCTGTAGTTTCCTGCATGTTTTCCAGATATGGAAAACACGTATGCGTATGCTGTGGTTTACACCTATTTTCCCGGTAACAGACATTTTGGAAACGTGTATCAAAAGAATAATAAAAAAAAAAACTGTTTGTGTAATTCTGTGTTATAAAATTGAACATTCTGTGACAAATAAAAGATTTTTTTAACATTTTAGTCTCGGTAAAACTCATAAAGACACGTGAATTGGAATTAGTAGTAAGAGAAGATTTAATACAACTTTTAATTTTAGAAAAATCAGTGTAAACTGTTCAGATAAAATTCAATCATTGCGCTAACCCTTGTAATCGCGGGCACCTGTTCTCACGTGCCACAGGTGGAGACACCTGTCGCGAAGACACCTGCGACTGTGTATTTTTTGTATATTCTATGTGATTTGAGAGGGTTTTCTACCTAAGGGGAACAATGGGCTGTGGTCAAGCATGTACATACACATAGTCTCCACAAACTCAGTTTAAATTTAGGTGATAACTGCTGGCCATTGATTTGATTTAAAAAAAAAAATAATTTAAATTATCAATAAGACCAGAGAATATTGATAGAATAAGCTACATTAATTTTAAGATGTTCAATGAGAGAAGGAAAAAAAAGAATTGTATTTTATTTTTTCATTACTGATTAAAAAACAAAATTTCCTAACCGTTTAAAAATTATATATACTTTTCTATCGGTCTAGAATAAATCTAAATTCTCGTTATGTGTTAAATCATAATTCTTTTTCAAACACATTTGTAAGTGCATAGATAAATGAAATAAAATTTCTTAATCGGTAAATAACGAATCGTACTTGTTTGACATCAATGTAAACTTTGAATGTTGAAAACATAGAAAGAATTATTAATTATCAACTTTGTTGCCTGCTTAATTCGCAAATTGTTTATGAGAAAGGATGCAGGTGGATCTATTATACAACATAAGAACTAAATTACTAATGTTTTGTGTGAAATTCGTATATAGTCCTCTACAAAGACATTGATAAGATAACACAGCAGAATAATATTCATATACAAAATTAATGAGTGTTAACTAAATAACTTATTTTTTATATATATCTGTACACAGACCCTGATATGTCTTCATTTTTCGCAGGGAATTACAATAATGTTGGTCTTAAATGCATACATGCACGTATATTTAATTTAGCCATTTTGTACACAAAGACCAATGCTGGCTCTAAATAAAGAAAACTCTATGATATTTATATATCATGATTTTCTTTTCCTTAAGAACAACGTCTTCTGAAGAACTGCATGCTAAGGCAATTCATTGAAGAAAAAAAATTATTGTTTTACACGTAGATGCCTAGCGAAAACTTAATATTTTTAAATCGTGTATTATGTTAAACGGAAGGTTACCCCTTTCAAATTTAAGCCCCCTCCCCTCCTTCAAAAAATGGAGAGAAAATAGTTTATTTCGATATTTAGGTATAATGTACTGATGTGGTAATTGTCAATACTTGTACATGTACAAACATTTCTTTATACATGTCGTCCATTTCTTGATTTTTATACCCCTACATGTACCATTACTTACTTAAAAAAAAACTGCACTGAAAACTGTCTACTCAAACCACAGGCCTGTATAATTTCAGTTTGGGGCACAAACTTTACCAGAAAGTTCTTAACTAGCAAACCTTACCAGAAATTACCAGAAAAAAGTTATATATGAAAGATACAGGGCGGTACTGGCTGAACGGCTAAAGCCACGTATATATATACAGCCCTGCACATCAACGAGTATACACTGGGCATTATTTTCCAACAAATCAGATGATCAAATATTGACAAATTGTTACCAGTCACGACTAAAATTCTGAACGCAATGGACATGATTGTAGGTTACCTACAATAATTCTGAGCTTATTTTAATTATGTGTTTCAGGTCAGTAGCAACAGTTTCAAAAGGGGGGGGGGCTTCCATAAAAATCTGACAAGCCAACAAAAAAGAAAAAAATAAGAAGAGCATAACCATTTACTTTCACCCCCCCCCCCGCATTCTACGGGCCGGTGTTTTCCAAATTAAAATACTGTTTTCCCTACCTTTGCTTAGATATTGATTCGTTTTTTTCACCTTGTGTTTACTCTCTTTTTCTATAAATCAATTTTCAAACTTAATGTGAAAAATTCTGATACATTATAACGGTGAGAATTACCTTAACTAAAGGCAAAGATGTTTGAAGTAAAATATAGCAAATAGAAAAAAGTCCAGCAATTTCGTCCACTGATTATTATTGATATCAGGCTAAAATCGAAACCAAAAAAGGAGGGGGTTCAAAATAGTATCTAAAGCCGGACAAAAAAAAAATCATCAAATCTTTATTATTCTTGAACCGTCCATGCTGGTAATTAAATTATTTTGTCTTGATTTTCACTGGTGTATACTATCTAACATACCCTGATTCCTTCTACTAACTAGCAATTTTTGACACCAAACTTTTCCATCATCACTAAAAATAAAATACTGTTCTGTATACATATCATGTAGTTCATTTGCATGCCAAATGCAGATCGAAATTTACGGCAGACTTCAAAGGACAACATTCTTGTCACAAAATAATAAACAGCTGATAAAGAGTCATCATACGTTTATTTTGAGGGGCGCAACAGGAAATAAGCTTTGTTTTCTATACTGCAAAAAATATGTTTAGGGACGTATGGCATGTCCACTATGCCCCCCCCCCCCCTATTTTCTACGGTCCTCAACTAATATTCATTTTCTGACGCTTCAAATTTTAAAACATATATACATGTATAAAGGTTTAACATCTTTCGTTGTGACATTACACATTAATCAGAATTCAGAATAATGAATAATTTAATGAAAAAGTAGTGGGGGGGGGGGGTAACCGGACATTTTCTGTTTGGATGGGCACTACGTACCAACCCCCCCCCCCCCCGCCCCAACCCCCAACCCCCAAGTCAAATAATTTGAGGGGTCACACCAGAAACATAAAATGTCTCTGGTCACCCTCAAAAAACCTCTTTGTTTTCTATAGTATACTAATTATCAGCAAATTTATTGAGGAACACCCCCTTTCTATGATTAGTGAAGAACTTCACAAAGAATATGAACTCATAATCACCGTAATAGGGAAATTATATTATATATAAAAACTTTTATTACCCTCTAACATAATTAACGTAAACAGGTTCCGTTTCCCATAATGCATCGCTCTGCAGAGGCATTAATTTCATTGGTCAATTTTCACGAGGCGCCATTTTTGGAGTTGAGCAAGACGGAGATGGACTTGGGTGTAAGGTGCAAATGTGGAAAGTTAACGATGTTTTCGCCTCCCAGTGTCTTTAAAACTATGAAAAATGCAATGATCAACAACCAAGGATTAGTGTACGTATATTTTTATATGCTTTTTACGATAAATAATACTAACATTGGGCAGAACAAATCTTTCCCATCGAAGACCACATTCGTTTTGACGCCATTTTGAAAAGTTTGTTATCAAAGTTTTAAATATGTTAGTTTACACATTGAAAAAACGGAAAGAGAAACTTGAATTATACAATATTTAGTGTTTTACGTTCAATCATAGATGTATAGATAGTAGACTTTGTATAGTTAGGCCCAATGGCACCACATTTGTCTTTTTCCATGCTGTATGTTGTATGTTAACGTTTCGCCTTTGTAGATTTTTTTAATGAAAATGAATGTTTACTATAATAGTTCTCTCTCTCTATAAATAAATGAAAAGTGTATGAAATTTTTTTTCGTTGTTAAATCGGATAATAATGTTTGTATCGAATATGGTTTCTTTGTTAATACAGACAAACATATATCCGGTTTGAATACATGTGTTCTCGGAATGCAACTTGTTGTACTTTTGGACTTCTGGAACTTTTTATGATGTAACGACAAGGTAAAAATGAATTATTTCTCCTACTAAATTACGATTAAGTCATCAATATTTAAACAAAAAGTGTCCGCAATCTCAACTTATCAGATTATTCACGAAGGACATCATCATCGAATGCGGGTGGTTACGTTCCGACTACTTGTTCGACCCGCGTGGTTTCGACACGAATCCATGTTCGACCCGAGTGGTTTCGTTCCAAAGCAATTAATTAACAATTAATTGCTTCCGAACGAAATTAATTAACACTTTCAACAGTTTTACATTTTATTTTTTCGTCTACATTTTTTTTTATATCGACCGCGTATATTTGTGTTAATTATCGTATGTAATTTAATTTGGAGAAACCTACATTAATGTTTAGACAGTGCATATGTAATCACGGTACATTTGATGAAGTATTTGATTAATTTTTATGGAAAACTGTTCAAATATAATTCATTACTAAATCAAATTCATCAACATCCATGCTCCGCGATAGTAGAAAAAAATGTTAGGAAACCTTCTCACTGCATGTTGACTACACATTATACGGAAACAACTACCTATTGACACCAGGGACCTATATACTAACGTTAGTATATAGGCCCCTGTTGACACGTACATCTCTGAAGCCATACAATATACAGCTACCGAATATCCATTTGTTTACCGCACAGTGTATACCCCTGTACTCAGGTATTCACATGTAGGGATATACATTAGAGTAGGTCGAAACCACTTGGGTCGTAACCACGTGGGTCGAACACGGAATCGGAACGTAACCACCCGACACCTCATCATCGATGGAAATTTAAACAGTTAAAAGAAAGAGTTCTGACTATTGTAAGCCGCCTTTATTTGGCAGATAATATTAGATCATTAGAACAATTTAAATAGATTGTCTGTAACTAGAGTACATATACATCTTACAACGTCATAACACAACCCTTATTCATATGCATAATGATGATATGTATATGGAAAATGTATTGGTTTGTAAGTACTGTCTATAATAATATAACAACTGTTTAACAATCTAGTGATAGATTGTAAATTGAAATAGTTTACTGTTCAAAAGACAAAATTTCTCATGTGTGACCTGCTGAGAGATTCACTGAAAATGTTAAAAATAATAAGCCTACAAGATACACAAATATTGATCATTTTTGATAGTATTTCAAGTAATGCAAATGAATCATCTGAGTAACAATCATCAGTTATTGATGGTGGTCGCAACATCATAGAAGTCTAATGGTAAAAATAACTGAATCCTCATTTGTTTGAAATTTTTGTTTGATATATGTTGTATGATAACGATAAATTTTTGTTTGTTTATTTTATTCCTCCCTGGTAGTTGTTGAAGTTTTGGCCATTATTAAAAATACTTTTGTTTGATCAGATGTACTCAGGGTTGTCTCTAAGACCCGGGGGCCGAGAAATTTCCCCAACTATAATGATGTAAATTATCCCCCGGTTATTTCGATATTCCTCCTAAACTCCCCAGTAAGGGAGGAACCCCAGTTCCCCTTCTACGTTTTAAATGTCCCCTTCTATTTCAATTCTTAGGGACAACCCTGTGTACTTCGACCCAAATTTTGTAAAATAGGTAAGTAGGTAGGTAGATTTTTTTTGGCAGTATCTAACAAATTGATTTTTTGTCATACAAAAACACAGAATTAGAAATTTATTGATGTTTCATTACACACTGGACAGCTAGACAGGTTTAATATTTATTGCTCTCGTTAAAACAAGTGTCTTGGAGAAATTATAAACCTCAACTTTATAATGAAACAAACTTTATTTCCCTGAAACCAAAAAAAAAAAAAAAAAATGAAGTAAAATTAAAATACTTAAAAAAATGATTGGGTAGGGTGATTTTGATGAATCTTTTGGAGTGCATCAAACAAATCAGTCATAGCTCACCCGAGCCAATGGCTCAAAAGAGCTTTTCTGATCAAAATTTGTCTGTCGCTGTCATTGTCTTAAACTTTTCACATTTGAATCTTCTTCTCAAGAACCACAGGGCCAATTTCAATCAAACTTGCTACAAAGTATCCTTGGGTAAAGGGGATTCAACTTTATTTAAATGAAGGACCATATCTTCTTCTAAGGGGAGATAATTACAAATAAATGAAAAATTAATGGCATCATTTAAAATCTTCTTTTCTGGAACCACTGGGCCAGGAAAAATTAAACTTATTTGGAAGCATCCTCAGGAAGTGTAGATTCAAATTTGTTTAAATCATGACCCCCGGGTGTAGGGTGGGGCCACAATTGATGATCAAGTTTTACGTAGGAATAGATAGGATAAAATCTTTGAAAATCTTCTTCATTAGAACCACTGTATCAGGAAAGATGAAACTTATGTTGAAACATCCTCAGCTAGTGTAAATTCAAGTTTGTTCAAATCATGACCCCCGTGGTAGGGCGGGGCTACAATGAAGGATCAAAGTACATAGGAAAAATCTTAGAAATTTCTTCTATTCAAGTACAGCAAAGCCATGATTTGTCATATTTATATGGAAGCATCTTCAGGTAGTGTAGATGCAAGTTTGTTCAAATCATGACCCCCATGGGTAGGATGGGGCCACAATCGGCGATCAACATTTTACTAACAATACTGATACATAGGAAAGATCTTCAAAATTCTTATCAAGACCAATATAGTCAAAATTGGTCATAATAATATAAAAGCATCTTGATGTAATGTAGATTCAATTTATTCAAATCATGACACTCCCCCTCCCTCCCCAGGAGAATAAGGCCAGGTAAAATTAATCTTTAGATTCTCATCCCCGCTCGCCCCTCTCAAACTGCCCCGCCCCATTGTTTTTTATTTTGCTTTTTGGGTGCCAAACATATTATTTTCATGTATTTTTATTCAGCAAGAATCTGGGTCAAAATTTAAGAGTTATCTCCTGTCTGTATTAAAAGTCGCATGGCGCTATTTATAGCAAAAAAACTATGTGAAGAATGGAGAAAAATCAGCAATAAAAGCAGTTTAAATATGTAAGGAAAAGATAATTTGTTAGTAAAGAGAAGGCAGAAAAGCAAAAATAACATATAAACACATCTAGATACCATCAATGGCATGGGCAAGTTTTTAAAGAGATTTTAATCAAGTAAAAACAGACGAAGAAAATACACATGGTCAAGTTTTAAATAACGATCTCCAGATGTATGTGATTTTGCATTAAAAAAATAAAACGTCGTCCAAAGACTTTAGAGAATAATATTGCTAAGGAAGTGTTAAATCTTAAAACTGTTCAGGCCTAGGCTTTTCAGTAGAATATTTTACAGATTTACACAATCCTGTTTTGCAAATATGATATATTTTAATGTCGAACATGTCAAGTCTCAAGAACGATTGAATGTATCAGGACAGTGTAAATCTGTGATATCTGTATATCACACAGAACAGGAGTTGTTGGTAAAACTATAAGGTATTTGGGAAAAGGCCGATGAGAAAACATGCATATGCAATTTATTAGGATCAGCACCTCATTTTGTTTGGCGTGTGCCGTATCCGTGTACTTGATAATTTGTTAATAAAACTAACGTTATATATATTTTTAATTTTCTATAACAAGAATCTTCTGTAGATATTTAAAAGAATATGAAAACAATAAAATCTATTCATATTTGGCATTAACATAATGTAAAAATTACGTGTATGTATGTTTTGTTGATACTTTCAATTATAAAAAATAAAAAATAAAATCCGCCCACCCGCCCCAATTTTTTAGCAAATTAGGATGAGAATCTAAATTTTAAATTTATATGGCCTAAAGGGGCCATAACGGGATCATAGTTATACAGTAAAACTCATTTAGTACAAAAAAGGATATTGCGAATTCACGGATATAGCGAAGTAATTTCACAGGTCCCAGTGACTTCGTTATAACCGAGTTTTACTGTAAAAAGGAAGAAAGGGAATATATCAATAAAAATTTTCTTCTTAAGAACAGCAATGCTAATATGTATCATATTAATTCAAAAGCATCCTTCGAAAGTATAGAATTCATACCCCCCCCCCCCCCCCCCCCCCCGAACCACTTTTATATTTAAACTTTTAAATACAGAACTGATTTATGTTTTTTCCTACCCAAAGTGCTCAGGTGAGCAAAGTGGTCCCTAGGACTGTTGTTTATTGTTGGTCTTATAAGTGAAATCAGAATGCAATACAGTGTAGTAACTGTACATAATATATTCTTTCAGAGAGAAGAAAATTGACATTAAAGGAGAACCAGTAACTAAAGATGTATGATGAATCAAGATGTGATCATGTGGTAAGTGGTAATAAATTCAATTATAAATAGGCATGTTTGACAATTGCATTAAAAGAAAAGAACTTGATTCCAATTTTAATTGGAATGTTGAACTACCAACTGCAAACTACAACAGGTTAGGCATACTAAAAAAAATGTTTGTTTATGGTTACCCCTCCCTCCCCCCTGCCCCCCCCCCCCCCCCCCCCCCGACCCAATATCTAATAGTCAACCCAAATTTTTTTTCGTTGTAAAAATCCATAAGTCACTCATTCATCAGTTTAACTTTTACATGCATCTTAATCTACCTACCAACCCTATTTTATTTCAGCATGTAGCAGTAAACAAACATATTTTTTTTTGTTTGGCCTTATGAAATTGTATGGCTTGGAGTCTTTTTCACTTCTCTATAAAATTTTCAGTCTGGATGATATCTAGCATAATATACATCATGCAGTGAGGATTTTAGTTCACCCGAGCTAAAAACTCGAGTGAACTTTTCTGATACCTTTTGTTTTGTCTTTTGTCCATCAAACTGTCGATCCATCAGTGAGCTTTTCACATTTTCAACTTCTTCTCAAGAACCACTAATTTTAACCAAGGTTGACACAAAGTAAGGATATTTTAAATTGTACAGAGGAAGCCCCCTCCCCCCCCCCCCCCCTTCACCCCAAGGGGAAATGATCAACTCTTTCAGATATTATTGATATGATCATTGTTGAGCAACTTATAATTTTGTAACCTGTAGACTATATTTTAAGAATAAGGCCCCAAAAAATAATAGTCTTGTTTCCTGCTACCAGCCTGAAAAAAATAGGGTAGGTAGGTAGGAAAATTATTTTATTTTATATTTTTTTAAATTTTTTTTCTGACAGCATTTTTTGGATATGAACTAATACAAGATAAAATTAAACATGTCACAGGTGAATAATGTCTTTTAAATTGAATTTAATGTCTTTTTATGCACAACTCAAGTGGTATTTTATGAAAGTCCATATTTAAAACAAGAATTTCATGAAATGCTTGTTTCGTGCTAACACGAAAACTGATTATGGTGACAGAACGATGAAATTCCGGAAATTCTCGATTTTTTTTCTTCCAAAACTTAAAAAAAACTTAAGGGTCGGGTGCAAAAAAATAGGGTAGGTCGGGTAGCAGGAAACAAGACTATTATTTTTTTTGGCCTAATGAATATTTGTTTAAGAGTCCTTTTGTCAAGGTTCAAAGTTCAATTAAAATTATTTTGTGATACATGTATTTGAGGATTCGAGATATCAGGAGTAAAATATTTAAAGAATACTTCCAAATTACTTCGACATGTCTGTGGTATTCAAGATGCCAAAGTTCAACTGTATGGCTATGCTAATGTAGTAAATATTATAACTTACTAAAACTTTCTAACATTGAAATATGTTAAATGAAACAAGACAAAAATGAAAAATAAAAATTTACTGTTGATTAGCTAAATCTTGAATGGCTGATATGTTGGTTGTTTTGATGAAATTTAGATTATTTGCATGTAAACTGAGTGTACATGCAATATGAAATTATTAGTCCCCTACCGGTGAAACCGGAGGGGACTATAGGTTTCCTCTGAGTCTGTCCGTCTGTCTGTCTGTCTGTCTGTCCCTCTGTCTGTCTGTCAGTCTGTCCCACTTGGTTTTCCGCACTTTTTTCTTAAACGCTTGCAGATATTGAGCTGATTTTTGGTATGTGAGTGTATCTTGATGAGTTACAGATCAAGTTTGCATTTCGTTCCGCTTCATTGATTTTTGACGGAATTACGGCCTTTTCAATTTTTAAGGGTTTCCGCAATTTTCTTCTAAACGCTTGTAGATATTGAGCTGATTTTTGGTATGTGGCTTTACCTTGATTAGTTATAGATCAAGTTTGCATTTCGTCCAGCTTCATTAATTTTTGACGGAATTATGGCATTTTCAATTCTTAACGGGAACCAGATTACACTTGCCGGTAGGGGACTAGTATTGCTAATGCAATACTCTCAGAATGCTTGTTCATAAGGTATTAAACATGATTAAAACATGTGTATGCAATGCAACATATGATGAATTCATATTGACTTGTATGGATATAGCTTAACATGTATGTGCATTTTTTTTTTTAGGGTCCTGTTCAGCAGATGCCATGAGATGATCTGTCTGTCCATCTGATATCACTTGTCCTGAGTATATTTTTTCTCCACTTAGCCCAATCTCACTCAAATTTAACTCATAGAGTGCCTGTGGATGGAGGGTAAAAAGTGACCTTGGACCAATTATCAAGGTCAAAGGTCAGTATCAAAACACACTATATATCTTTATTTAAAGTCCTTGTCCAGAGCATAATTTTTCTCCCTTGGTATGATCTTGCTTGTGTGCCATGGGATGAAGGGTTTTTAGTGATCTTTAACAAAATTTCTAGGTCAAATGTCAATAAGAAAAAAAAAATTCGTAATATCCTTGTCCAGACCACATTTCTCTTCAATTCACTCAACTAAAAAGCAGTGTTCTACATGTATGAGATGGTCATATTCTCAATCTTACATGCTTTAATATTAATCTGGCTTAAAACCTTACTATGTAATGTTCATTATTCGGATTTCATGTCATTAAATTTAAAGACTGAAACTAATTATAATCACTGATATTGGTACATTAAAGGACATTGAGTGATCTTGTAAGATTTCTAAATAATATTCAAGCATACTATTCTTACATCAAATAATAATTTTATATGAAAATATATTGCAGATCGCAGATGATGTGAAGAAAATACAAAGGAAGCTGATGTTGAAAGAAGTATAGAGTATTTAAAGAAGTTTTTATGAATGGACTTAGATGTGAAAGACTACTTCATTGTGTACCAAGATATATGATTTTATTTATTTTGATATCATTTTCAAATAATGTTTTTGCACATCAAATGAATTATTAAACATATGATTTGATAATGCTTTTTCCTTTTTATACATTTTCTTGATAGATTTTGAAAAGAAAACACAGTTTACCAAGGAAATTAATAATATATATTTTGATTTAAACCTGCTGTTCTCTTTTCACATTCTAGACAAGAAAGATTAACCATGGAAAATACAGGGATCCTTGAGCTTCCAGTTCCTTGTCAATCATTTTTTGAAATTGAAATGCTCAATCTACCCTGTAGTTTCCATGGTATGGAAACTATTACACCACAATTACACATTGCTTCCCGTCTCAGAAAAATAAGGGAATCTTGATGTTTCCCTGTAATTTCCTTTTATGAGACACCAGATAATTCCACCAAGTTTCCATCACACGGAAACCGCTATGCTCCAATTCCATATAGTTTCCTGAGTCATGGAAACTTGAGGAATCACGAGGTTTCCTCTAGTTTCCGTTCATGGGAAATCTGAGGATTCCATCGAGTTTCCATTACATGGAAACCACTACGCTCCGATTCCACATAGTTTCCTAATTATGGAAACCAGTGGAATCTTCAGGTTTCCCATTATGGGAAACTACATGGAGGCTCAGGAAACTTCAGGTTTCCTGAGGTTTCCGTGGTTCGGGATACCTTATGGAATCGGAGCGTAGTAGTTTCCGTGGTACGGAAACTTGACGGAATAACCTGGCATCCGCTGCGGAAACCACTAGGAAACATGATGTAAACATGAGGTTTCCATGTGGTTTCCATATAGTTTATTTCACCCAGTGATATATTTCCTACAGAAAGGAAGAAAAAAAAACAGATTTGGTAGTTATGATTAAATATATGTTTCATGATGTTTGAATATTAGAAACTAAACCAGTGAAATAAGACTCAGTCTGGCTCTTGATAAACATTTAGACAATTATATTTTAATGCAAACATTTATAAGATATTTTGTTTCTGACCTATTTAGAGTGGCGTTTGCACGATTTGAACGTGACCGTGGGAACAACTAACATGGCCTTCCCCTGTTTCTGTGGATTCTTTACTGGTCCCGGAACGTCCCATCAGAGGGTGGATATGGCGTGTAAAGAAAATTGTAGAGGGCGCTATGTACGTCTTCAAATTATCTCCCCTGTTCCGGAGATTTTACAGCTCTGCGAAGTTGAAGTCTACAGTGATTGCAATATCTAATCTATTATTACTTATCTATAGCGAAATAATACTTATGTAAATTATTGCTTTATAAATCAAAAGTGTCAAAGTTTGTTTTAGGCCCATATTAAAACAAAGTGTTAATTTTTTCTTGTAGTAAAGGAAATGGTCATGTTTTTCTCCTGATAATAACTGAAGTTTTTTTTTTTTTTAATTTTCAATGCAGTTGAAAAATAAATTTGCAGTTCATCTGTTTCCTGTTGCGGTTTCTTGCATATTTAAATTTCTTATATATTTTAATATTATCTCCAAGGAATAAATGCGTTTTTCACTTATTATGAACGATTCGATCAATGAAAAATTTGATTAGAAATGTAATATTAAATGTTCTACTTTTAAATGAATGAATTATTTTAGTGGTATTGCTTATGAACTACGTATATTAGATCCAAAAAGAAATACAACCAAAGTTTACATGAATGCTGTTGAATATCATTATCAATATGAAGCTTCTTTGTGTTAACGTAAGTAAGAAAATATTGTTTACAGCAAAATCCCATAGACTTTAAACCGCGCGATTCCTTATTGCTAGCAAATATCCACCCCCCACCTCCCGAACGCAGTCATGCATAATTTTTCCTGAAAACGGTAGACGTAGATCTATACATGATATATGTTTGAAAGTAAAATGAAAAAAAAATGAGCCTTTACGTTATACAAAAAGAGAAACAAAAAACACAACCTTCGTTCTCCACTATAAAAGTTTTACTGCTTGTCCGATACCCGACCGCATGAGGGACATTTATATATTTTGAGATTTATTTCTGTTCTCTATCCCCTCGCAACGAAGTTGAGGAGGGATATAGTAACGCACTTGTGAGTGAGTGTGTTAGCGAGTTTGTGCATAACAGAAGTAATGATTTACATCGGGTTCGATGTCATTTTCTGGCTTGTTTAAAACAGGATTTATTTATTTTTTTTTTTTTTGCGAGGGGATGCTCCGCCTTGTTAAAGTTTGTTATGTCATTTAAATTTTGTGGCCTTGAAGAATCATACAATTATGGATTCATTTGGAAGTTAATGTCATGGTTTGTTATTCACCAGAAAAATATCAATATTGAGTGGCAGGGTAAAGACATTGTGTTTAAACAGTAATATTGACATCCACTGACGATTTTATTTAAAAAAAAACGCCGGTTGAAACTTGTTTTCATGCCACCTGCATAAATGCATTATGCATTATGGTTTTCATAATCAAGGAAACTATCAACGACGTACATTTTCAAAAATATCTAACGTACTTAATCGTGCTTTATATGGTTATTTATACAGACATAAATATACTGAAACGCAAAAGAATCGCAACAAGCAGTAAACTACAAATATTTGAATTCTTTATCCAATGATTTTCAAAAATGAATACAGTAAGGTAAAACACAATTTAAAAACATCAGAGATTTGATAAAAATGTTAAATGATTATCTTTTAACTTTAGAAAGTAACACATGACTTTTAAAACACCCCCACCCCGGTCATTAAATTACAGCGTGCACGACTGCCATGCACAGCAATTGCAGCTTGATTTCTACGATGCAATAGGTTTATCTATCTCGAGATCTGAGTGAAATAAATATTCTTTGCCATTTTTAAATGCCCGTTTTTCAGATGATAAGGTCGAATTTTCTCTAGCCTTGCGCAGTGTAGTAACCCTTGGACTTCAGATCCAAGGACTGTCATTCAGTCTAATGATACGTAAGAGCCTCTTGAGGCGTGATGTAGTTCATATTTGCATTTGCAACTCTCCATCACCTTTATTTTGAGATTTTCCAGCTAGAGCAATGGAAATGCGTACTTACGTCAGGTTCAGGAATCCTTGGCATCGCTTACGGAAAAGAAAGGAGAATTTATTTTTCGGAATATTGCTGCATTACTTCTGATGAACAAATACAAACCCTTAAAACCCCATATTATTGCCAAATGTTTTGTTTAACATGGAATTTTTGATTTCTGTTAAGCGGACTCAAACTTAACTTCCGGTAATGGTATGAAAATCATTCAACCGTTAAATTACCGATATTTACAAAGTAGAAGATGTCCTTACTTTTTAGATTTTTTTTTTACAAAATTATATCCCATATATAATATATCCCCCTAAAATAGGATGTTGGGTTTCTTTTGCCTTTCAGTATATAAACAATAACATGTCTTATAGTTTTGTTCTTTAGGGTTAGGGTTAGTGGTTAGGGCTAGGGTTAGGGAATTAACAGTTGCAGCTATTGCAGAAACAATAACATAACCCACATACACGAGGAATGTATATTTCTGAAACTGCTGTAAAGCTAATTTCCTTTTAAAAAACAAAGAAAGCATTTATTGCTTAAATAAATTTACACTTCACAAACTAATTACCCTCATGATCTCAATCTGAAGAGCCTTTATTACTTCCAAACAGACCATCTTTAAAAGATCTTTAATAACAGTAACTTATAAACATATAGAGTTTTTAAAATTGACTCTTTAAAAAAAAATCAGTTAGCCCGGTTAAAAAATGCCATATATATACATATATATATAGCGCACAATTAAGTACTTTAGATATTGGGTTTTTTTTAAATGTACGTCGTTGGTAATTTCATTGAGTTATATAAGAGAGTAAATCGTTTTAATTACATGTTCTTTAGATTACATGTAGTTTAGTTTAATTCGATCTCATAATTTCTTTTATAATGGAGTATACATGTATCTCTTTTGTTCTACAGTTTAATATCTATGTATTTATTGTTGATAGCTTATAGCTTTTCGGTCATATGCTCTCAGTTGAACTTATTTCTCTGTCAGTAGAAGTGCCGTAGTTTAAATTCCTCGACTTCTTTCTGGATTAAAAACAAATTGTATTGATTTAGTACTAGAAATTGTACTTATATTTTGTAATGATAAATAGTTCTGTTTTATATGTACACAAGTACCAGTAAGCTTTTACTATATGGTTTAGTGAATAAATTGCATTTCTCTTATTCTTATTTTTGCCTTGTCTTTAATGGTGAGAAATTACAAATACATGTAACTACATGTTAGTATTTACAAGAAAAAGTGTAGAATAATTAGTATAATAACAATTATAAATCTATTTAACTAAGCTTACTTAGTATTTTGTGAGATATTCTTTTTGTTGAATAACACTCAATAATCACGTAAAAATAAACTAATACAGAAATTTTATTGCCTTTGCCTCAGCTCAATTTAAAAGTATATAATCTAAATTTTAAGGAATAGATCTTAAATTACTCATGCTCCTAATTCTTACCTACTGCTCTCCCAGATTTTCTACGATGTTGATATCAGGGCGCTGATCTGGCCTGCCCATTCCTTTGATTCCTGTGCAGAAGTTCTTGGTCAAACTAAAATCTTTGAAGCATTATTTACAAATGAATAAATACAAAGATTTGAGGAAAAGGAGTATGATCTGTACTTACACCCCCTTAAAAAAATATGCATCTTTGTGATGAAATCATAGAAGTTTATATTGTAACTTTCATATATCAGTTGAACTTCTGTATCTGGAACACGGATATCTCGAATACCATGGATATGTGATTTGGAAGTTCAAACCACATATTTCTTATGTATTTTATTTCGATATTTCAAACCCTCAGATATCTGGAAGTTTTTTTCTCGTTCCCATAGAGCTCGAGATAACCAGGTTTGACTGTATTTATAATATTTTAACTTAAGATATTTCAGAATATTCTTCGGGAATACTTACGTCACACATTTGTAAAAAAAAAAATGATATTGAGAAGGAAGCATACTTTACATGCTTTAATAGTTTACGCCACGACTTCTAAGAACCGGCTTATACACGTTCAGTTTTGGCAAGAGTATTCAACAGATTGCTATTCTGCGGTAGGTATCGGCAGGAAAACACTCCTACATGTAAAAGATGCTTCCATAATTATATAACCACTGACTTGTATTTGATCACTACAATAATTTTGCATAAATCGAACATCAAATTATCACCTCAGATTGACTAGTAACTGACCTTGATGACTTTTTGCAGGTAAATAATTGTGTAATGTTATTAAGCATATAATCTTAGAAAACTTTAAGCCTTAAAATATGAGATGAAATAACAAACGAAGATTTTCTGTCCCTGAAGACTTATATCTGAGGTCGATGAATGTAATTGATGTATATACAGTATAATTTGTCCAAACCGGCTACCTCAGGTTCCATAAAACTTGGCCGGATTAGACAGAATCCGGAGTGCAGGAAAAATGCAGGAAAATATTTGAAATTTAATTTCATTGTTTTATTTACGAGTACAATATATAATGTATCAATAATTGATAAAATCTATCAATATTTTGGAGTCTAGAAATTATTAAAAAGCATTGCATGACTTACTGTAATTTTTTTTTTCTTTTTCGTTCACAAAGTTTCGGACTTAACGTGAAATGTTACCGGAGTCAAAATCTACAGATTCGTATATTATACTATGTATTTCACGCGGCCCGGGTTTTGCATATCAAAGAGCGCATTCAATATAATTATAAACACAACTATTTACCATTTGATAATTATTGGATTGAAATTTTAATTTTTATGTAAAAAATTACGTCTTCCCTCCAACGTAATGGCGCCATTTTGGGATGAGACGTTTGCGTTTCGATCCCGATTTATATTTAGATTTGCAAATCGTGTACCTATATTGTATTGTGTTTTTATTATACTGTGTGATATGGAGTTAAAAGCAAGTTAAATGAGTGAGATTTTTTTTTAATTTTAATTTACTTGTAATTTAATCTTATATTTCTTCAAGTGGGCTGTGTCACCGCCGCGTTTCAGTTCGTCTCATGGCACTCATGTAAACACACGTTAACCAGCACATCTTCACGAAAGGCGTAAACTCAGGTTATTATGCGTGGCCGGATTAGAGGAAATAATTACCGTTAATTATGAGCAGTTGGGACCAGTATGGCCGTTCGGAATACAGAATAGACAGTATCCGGTCTACACAGAATTCTTTCTAATACATTTGTTAAAAAAGTGCATGGGACTAAAATTTATAGCCGGAATGGACAAAATTCCGGAGTATTCAGAGTCCGGATTAGACAAATTTTACTGTACATGTATTTTCTATTTACATCTCTACTTTCTTCTCCTGATTTTAACATCGATTTTTTTCTTCAATATTTTACAAAGTGTGTTATTCACAATATTATGATCAGGTCTTCTATTAAACATTCAGTACAGTTTTGAACAAGGATAAAAGCGGGTTTATATGAGTTTAAATTAAAATGCCAGTTATCAAAGCACGTGAGGTATGTTTGAATCGATTGTCTACGTTGCAATTTATTTTACAAACCCCTTCTAACCTAGAGATAATATGTGTCTTCTATTTTTCAAAATTCATGTTCAATGACAATACTATCTTACCAGACGATTGTGTGCGAAACAGGTTGTGTCAGGCTAGAGCTGATTCTTGAGGTGATTCTTGATCAAGTATCTCGCAACAAAAACCATGAAGTATATTAAAGTACCCTTTTGAGAAACTTAAAATAGAGTTGGATATGATCAACAGGTAAGTTCGTTGAGTCATTTTAACACAGTCTACTAAATTTTAACAAAACCGTCTCGTTGCATATTCTGTACTATTTTTTTTTTAATTAAAAAATGTGACAATCGATAATTCATTACATGTATATCAGATTAAAGTTGTTAGGATTATGTGAATGTGACGGCGTATTTTTAAAGCTATACTTTCCATATAAAGACATATGTGTGCAATGATTGTATTTATGAATTATAATGAATTTTAAATAAGAATGACATTTAAATCTTTGAAGATATTTGAAGGAAGAAAGGGATTTAAGCTGCTTTTATCGTAAAAAAAGATGTCACTATGGTCCAGAAAGCAACGAATTTTATGCAGCAAAACATAACTTATATGTGATTATATCACAAGCTTTGACAACGTGGCATTTATTTTAGACCCTTTTAAAGTGTATATTAAGCACACATTTTCCTTAAATAATCAATAATAATTGTACTGTCCTAGTCGCTTGACAGCAAAATCAATAGTATGCAGCCATTCCATGATCGTTAGTGCACAGTGACATCTAATCAACAAGCATTGTAAAAGGTTTTTAAAAAGTGTACATTTGCCTACGCTTTGCAATATGTCTTTATGTTCATTTATACCCCTCACGTATTGTGCATTTTTCATTTGTTCTGTTCAAAATATTCTTCACTTTCAAAATATTTTCGTAATTATTGAAATGCCCGTTTTCTTTAAATGCATATCTCAAGTTTTTTTTTACTACAGTGCACATTTCACATTTATGATCAGCTATGATCTCTATTCATAAGCCATTATCGTTCAATATTTTTGCTTAAAATATGCATTGAATTAGTTAATGCATGTATTAATTTCAAGCATTTGAAATACATGTTTTTGCTATAAATGCTCTCAAGCCAAGTGTTGTCATTAAAATAAACTTGTGTTGTAGAGATTTTTTTGATAATATACTCTTTGTAGTTGTCAAGATGTTTAATGTCAATCTGAATGTGTTAACTTTATAATAGGTCAAACGGATCACTACCCAAAGGACAGATAGAACGTAAAGTGTGCATAATGTTAGGATCATATTGCTAGATTTACATTTTAGAATTTTTCTTGAACTAAATACTCAGTGGGATCATTTTATCAAACATGGATGTAAATGGACTGGTGGACAAACTGAAAGAATATTTTGCTGTGTCTGCATATCCCCACGATAATAACGAACTGTTTACAATAATTGGAAAAATTCTTCCAGAAGATTATAAATATGGAAAAGTTCGGAGAGAGCTGTCAACATTCCAAAAAAGACTTCAGTTTTATTTCTCTCTGTTCAAGGCTCAAAAATATAGACCAGGTATGACAACACATGAGGCATTCAGAAGAGACATGACCATTCTAGAAGATGAACAGTTTCCGCCAACTCTGCGCGAATTGTATGCAGTGAGTGAGTTGTTGGAGCAAAGGATTATCCTCTTGAAAATAACTGATGATTGTGAAACAGTCAGTGGATTTTACATATCACCAATTCTAAGAGAAACGTCCAAAACAGAGAAAATTATGCTTCTGCTCACGTTTGTAGACGGAGAACCTTATTTCCAGCATCTCGAAGGGGAAGAAGGGAAACTTACAATGTGTCCAGTTACATTACTTAATGAGAACCATGATATGTGTCTTGATAAGCGATTCAAGAACTCATTTCAAGAACTCAATGCGTCATTCATTTTAAAGCAAGTTGAGAGATTGAATATTAGTAATTTGGAAGAAGCTATGGCCACCATCACAATATCAGAAACTGAAAAAACAAACATTTTTGTTGTGTTAAGTCAACTTGTCTATGGTTCAGAGTGCATGGAGGAATTTGTCAAGGATCACGTAATCGCCCATATGAAAAGTGATGAATTCTATGAAATATACCAAGCTTTTGTTTGTTTAGATAAATTTGAAGAAGAGAAGAAAGCAATTGATAGGCTGCCTGAAGGAAAAGCAAAAGAAACAAACCTGTCAGACTTACGAAAGAAAGCTTTTCATTTTCATCTCGAGCAATGGGATACTGTCAGCATAGTGGACTTTTTTGCAGTTGCAAGTGTCTTTAATGTTCAAATATATGTCAAAAAAGGAAAATGTAATCTATTCCTTCCTACTTGCAGTAGTTTCTCGAAAATATTTTCCTCGCCAATCTACCTTGAACAAGCGTCCAACAGTGCCTTGATTCCCTTGCTTGATAGCAACAACTGTTCATGTGTTTGTCGAAAACCATTAATACCCGGTCGATTACCAGTTTACCAGGAGATGATCGAAGATTTTATCATGAAAAGACTTGGTAAATCGTCATAAAAAATCGTAAAATTTTACGGTCAGTTAAATTTATTAAGAGATAATAAATATTTAAACATCATTATATCACTTATTTCATTAAAGGTTTATTTTTAGCATTGGAACCATGTTGCCCTGTTGGAAAGCACGGCACTCATAAGCACTTCTCTACAATTAAAGATTTCCAAATTGTCCCGAACGACCAGATTTCCTCTTATCAGAGTCCTTTGGATAGGCACGTAGAAAAAGTTATCGAAGTGTTGGATACACAAGGACGAAAACTAGATCAAATAAACGGTGGAAAAGGTTCCTTAGAGCAATGCCTAAGCCGAGAAATTTTTGGAGATGAGGAAAAAATTTCGTTCTTTAAGTCAAGGTAGGAAATAAGCTGATCAGTCGTTTATCTTAAATTGTCATCCAATAATCAGATTAAAAAATAATTATTTAGCAGCTCAAAACTTATTCATGCAAAACGTGAAGCGATTAAGTGCTTAAATATAAATATTAGTAAGAAATGTAAAACTTTAGAAACTGTCGAAAGGACTATATTCGGTAATGACCAATATTTGCCCCCAAAATCAAACTTTGACGGAGAAATATATAATTACGTTCTAAAACAGGGGAATCTCTGCAGACTTCAAAGCAATGAATATTTCATAAGCCATGACGCCATATGTTAGATATGACGTCAGAAAGATGACGTAAATTCAAAATTTCAATGATTTATACAGAAAAAGTGTATATTACGTCGATAATTTGAATAAAAGTCACCGAGCGCAGGTCTGCTCCAACTCATATGCATTATTTTGATATAATGTGTAGAATGATGATATCAATTAAATATGTAAATATTGTTCTTGAGCAGGCCTGCGCTCTGTAAATTTTATAGTAAAAATTGAACAAATTTTGTCCATTTTTTTCCTTTTTCTAAAAAATAACACAAAATCCGAATAGTTTGTGACGTCATAGAAACAAAAGTTGCCAATAATCTACTTCGAAACTATTATATTTTTTGTTAATTTAGATTTCTCACACAATATATGCAATTCAGCACATTTCAAGAAATTTTCAAAATATGACTTTTGTGGGGGCAAAAATGTGCATATACCGCATATAGTTCTTTAACGAAATTTTTCAGAGAGATAAATTGGATATCTATATTTATTTTGTATCTAACGCGTTTAATGGTGTTCATATTCGGAAGGCTTGTGGAGGGAATATAAACACCATTTTCAATAAATTGAATAAAGTTTTATATGTTCTATTTATCTCAGATTTTTTTATTTCATTGCAATTTTGAGTAAGTCCGTGAAAAGACTTTTTTCTCTGTGTTCTTTTGCTGGTGTGTGTAAGGAGATTTCATTATGCTACGATTTTAGGACATTTTCTTATGTATTAGTCAATATTTTTCCAGTTTTTTTTTTAAATTCAACTTTTTGTTCAATAAACAAATTATTACTTCATATTCACCTTGTCTTCTAGGTTTTGTGGGGGAAAACCAATGAATCCAGAAGAAATCTTATCAGTCGTTGCAAATTCAACAGAAAAACCGTTGTTTGTATTTAAGTATTATCCAGAAAGTTATTCCTGGGTCTTGATTGCGCCTAACTCAGCAACAACAAAAGAAAACTTATGTCGATATTACATCACCATCTTCTACAATGGACTTACTGGATATTTTGACAGAATTGTAGCAAAAAATGGATGCAACTGTATATTACCTTCACCTGCTGTCGATGTCAGAACAAACATAGGTATACTACATTAAATTTATTAGCTTTAAAGTACTCCCTTTTCTGCGAAAAAAATGATGGGAAATTATTCAATCCTTACATTAATCTTCACGATTTTCAGAGACAATATGTAAATATATATTCCAATAAATTCAAAAGGGATTTTTTTTTTCTTAATGTCAAGGTATTTCGTAAGTGTTCAATGAATTTCGCGAACAAAAATGGATTATACATGTACCTGTTACTAAGCAAAATAACAAAAATACATTTTAAGGTAATTAATATTTTAGATCTTAAACAAGACGAAAAGAAAATTCTTGCAGCCAATAGACATAATCCACTCCTGACGTTTCTCTCCACTGATATAAGTGAAACTTCATTTATTGACGAAGTTAGACATGTACCAACAGTATTTTCAAGATATTCAGAGATCCCTCTAATAACGAGTCGGTACGATATGCAGGATAAGGAAATAGATTTTATGTCCGATTACAGCTACTCCTTGTGTAGATGTGTAAGCAAGGAAATTTTTGGAACTGAAAATGAATTTGAACTGATAATGAAGGAAGTTGTGAATGAAATTCATAACAACCCTCACTTATATGGTAAATTTATGAGATGGGACAAGGACGAAACAGAAAATGAAGAATTTTTAAAAAATTTTACATCAAGAAAGAGGAAAAAGATGGACTTCTTTAAAAGGCAGAAGTCTGTTGAAAAAGAGCAAGCACTTTTTTATGCTAATCGAATAGAGGATGGAATGGAAATGGAAGATTTAGAACTTCTTGCAATAGCCACATGCTTTCAGGTTCCAGTATTTGTTATCTGCGTTGAAGAAGACAAAGGGATAATTTCAACATCTTGGAAAGAGTTTACACAGATTAAAAGAAAACACAGACCAAGGCAAATAAGAAATATTGCACGAAAATCTTGCTGCAATATAGACAGTGATGGCTTTAGCAAATTTTTTATTATGGTGTATAGAACGTTTTCAGGCCAATTTCACCGAATAGTTTCCAAAGAAGAAATCTGCAACTGTTTGACAGAGCAACCTAAAGTACCGGAAATTGAATATCACAAAGTGAGCAGAGCAGGTGGGTCATTGTTAACAAACCTTCATTAAAATTTATATTTTCCTATTTGAAGAAGGATCAATCAGATTTTTATAACTGAATTGTATTTATTTTCAATTTTTAGATGAAAATATTTTTGCAAAAATGAGGAGTATAGAGAACAGACTTACAGTCACACGAATAGCCCTTGACAATTGGTTACGATGCAATATGGCACTTGAACTTCTCTGTACAGAAGTAATTGATGGGTTAGAAAGCAGAAGAAAAAATGTAAATATCGCATCAATTGTTGGGTCCTCTGTGGGTCTTGTTGGGGCCACCCTTGCCATTGGTGGGCTTATTGCTGCCCCGTTTACAGCAGGGGTATCACTTGGTCTTACAATTGCTGGGGGTGTTGTCGGAGGAATGGGTGGTTTCACATCAGCGGGATCAAAAATTTCAGAGTTTATTTTAAATAAAGGGACCGTCTCCCAAATGGAAAGATACCAGATGAATTTACGAGAGCGATCACGATGTCTTGAAAAATCCATCAAAGCTGTTGAGAAAGAATTCAAAGATCTTTTAGCAGCTAAAGATTACGTTGACTGCACGGATACCAACTCCTTAGGAGTAGCGACGTCGGCTGTTAGATCGCTCACTGCTGTCCCAATGATAGTGCTACGAATTATTGCAAGGACTATTACCCTTGGAGACATGATTCTAGTTCCACTGTCAGCTCTCCTTGATGCAGGACTTCTAGTGTACTCCATTTATAATCTTGCTAAGGGGTCAAGAACGAGAGAAACAGAGCGGTTAAGGACAATCCGTACCGTGCTAAAAGTTGCAAGAGTGCAAATGCAGATATGGGGATATGGAAACCAGAAAAAATGGGAAAAGAATACAAATGAAATTCCTGGAATTTCCTAAAGTTAGCTAAACTTTTGATTGACATGCTGGAAAAAATAACTACATTTTGTCAAATTAACTGGTACGTTTTGAATGTTTATGTTACGTTTAAACTATTTTTGTGCATATCTAAAATATACTAAATAAATTGATCGATTTTTTTTTTTTCAGTAGAATTTTCTGTATAGTTATACGCCTCCAAATAAATATTCTTTATGTCTTTTTGTTCTTGTTAGCAAAGTAAAGAATTGTTGTTGCGAAAAAAAAATACTTGAAAACATAATTATGTAGCAGAAAAGACCAAGGGCCACTTAGGGCCCTGTGAGTTTCTCAAAAAATCGAAACTGCTCAGTTTTGGTTGACAATGCAGTATTTATCACTTGGACCCTTGGTGACCGTGTATCTATTGAACATGACGTAATTTTCTCTATAGTCAATGCATTATGACGTCATGAAATGCGTCATTTTTTCCATATTCTGTAAATTCCTTTCAAAGTGGCCAAAAGTTGGAGAATTTTTTCAATATATCATATTGAGCACAACCTCTCATCCAATATATATATATATATATATATATATATATATATATATATATATATATATATATATATATATATATATATATATATATATATATATATATATATATATACACAGAAAGCACAAAGAAATTCACATTTACAAGGATACCCACTTACGCCCCAGCCCGGGGTTGAACTCTCGACCTACAGAATCTGTTAAAGTGAATTTCTTTGCGCTTTCTATATTGATATTTCTTCACTTAGTGCAGTTATGTTAGTTTAAGAGTTGTTGTAAAATGTGCTTTATATATATATATATATATATATATATATATATATATATATATATATATATATATATATATATATATATATATATATATATATATATATATATATATATATATTTCAAAGAGAGAGAGAGAGAGTTTTATAATGTCTATCTGACTTTCACTAATTAACAATTTTCAATTGCCAATGAGTACATGAATAATTACTTGATATCTTCCATTCTGTTGCTTTCTTGGCCTCAGGTGCTTTTTATTCTATTGACTTGCAGTTGTAATTATTTATGTATTCATTGGCAATTGAAAATTTTTAATTGGTGAAAGACATATCTGTCGATCAAACGCATCTTACAATTTGAATAAGAGGAATTGTGTGATGTTTTAGATACTTTTGGTACATTTTCATTCAAACCGAAAGAAAAAAAGCATTAATTAATCCTCTATTGCATATAGCAAACAAACGTAGAAATACAAGCAAAAATAACCTAAATTGCAAGTAAAACTTCCATGAAACCCAAAAAAACCGCAAGTGAATGGAGTCAATAAAAAAAACTTGATCATGCTGATATCCATATTTCGTCTCCAAAGTGCAATTAATCCATGTGCGTTACACAAGTACAATCTTTGATTTTCATTCCTGCTCTCCTTTATCAGAGGAATGATGAATCTTTTATAAAGAAGAAACATCAAATCTGTTCGAACAAATAAATAATTCGCTAAGTTGTCTGGACAATTCAAAAACAAGGTAATCTACTTTCTTCTAAGTGTATGAAATATATGGAGATAACGAACAGTATTCAAGCTTAAAAGTCCATTAAACGATACAGATTTTGGAGTAGAGCAGAATTGGACCTGAAAAACATCAGAGGTGGGATCAGGTGCTATGGAGGAGTCAGCATCCCCTGCCTACCGGTCACACCCGCCGTGTGCTCCTTGTTACGATCGGGAAATAACGGAAAAATCTGTCTTCAATTCGATTCAGTGTGTAAATAATGGCCTAACAATTAGCATGAAAAATGTCAGTCAGCATTTGACTTAATGATAAATTGTATTTGCTGACAAGGTCATTGTATTAACCATAGAACTTACGAATGACGACTTTAAACAAGACTGCTGATATTCTTGTTTCGTCAACTTGTTTGTCAATAACCCACCTCGTTTTAGAAATTTGTCATACTTAGAGCATACGTAGAGCATGCTCTTGTGTATAGAATCAACTGAGAGATATAAACCCTGTATGCAGGCGATGAAGGTATATTGCTGCATAAGTAAGGGAAGTTAACGATTGAAAAGTTAAAGTCATCACGTTTATCATAATGCTTGGTTGTTAAATTACCATTAACGTCTTTTTCTAGTAAAATATCCAAATATGAAATATGTCAATACGATGTGTCAAAGTCTATGGTATTCTTTTTATTTCAATCTTAGCGGGATATATCGTATCGACATAAGAATGGAAATAACCATTGTTAATTGACAACACGTCGTCGATATATCTAAATGTCGAGTTGAAGGCCACATATAAGTGATTTCTTCTTTTCACGTATAAGATTTTGAACAAATGCTGCTTCATATGAATACAAAAATAGGCCTGCTAATAACGGGGCGCAATTGGTACCCATGGGAATGACAATAGATTGTTGAAAGACCTTGCCTCGAAAAAACCACATAGATTTTGTCAATCAGGATCTCAAGCATCTTTTTAATATCATTTTCAGAATACTGGTGTGTACAATTGAATGTTTTTAACAAAATAATTTTGCAAATGACCAATGAAAAGGTAAGTTAATTTACGAGTTCCATTTGTACTGAAAAAAGCAGCTGTCAATGATATCAAAAAGCCTGGACTTTAATTTATCGTGGGGAATAGTTGTATATAAAGTTGAAAAGTCAAAAGTTTTTATGTCGTTGATTTTGGTAAAATTTTGTGATTTCAAATTTTCCAAAAAGTTCCTTGGAGTTTTTAAGTATCCACATCTTATTTACACCACTTCTCGAATATATTGTTGCACAGTACCCCTGAAGTTTCTCCTTCACTACTGTTAATATTTTTATTGAGGAGTAAAGAAAGAGGCTTGGTAGAACATTTACTGGAACCCGCTATGTATCTTTGTTTGTAAGGATTTTTATGAAGTTTCGGAATCCAATATCGATATGGTAACTCAAATTCATGTTGGTTGTTGGGAATATGTATTTCATTTTGTACGAAGGAAGAACTTATATGTCCACCTGAATATCTTGTTTGTCCGAACGAAAAACAAACTTGTCAGAACCATTACCTTATCTGTCTGAACAATTTTTCCAAACAATTAAATATTTCTTTTCTAGGCTTCAACGGCTCCATATTATTGAATTATATTCCGTATTTAAAAAAGTTCTGGCCTTCATTGATTTTTGTAAAATTGTTAAAGTTATTAAGATTCTAAAATTACAAAGTGTATAACCTTGCAAAATTAAAAAAAGGAAAAATAAATGTATTTGCTTACAAGGTCATTATAATGACCCACACATTTTCGAAATGCTGACTTTGATCGAGACTGTTGAAAGCCCTGATACAGCATCTTATTTGTCAGTATCCTGCCTGTTATAAGTAGTAAAATTTCAAAATATGAAACGGATGAAAGAGAAAGATAACAGTTTTAACCAATGGGCACTGTGACTTACCTATTGTGCAATTTTAATTGTGTGCTAAAAACTCAATAGCTGAAATATTTTATCTGAAGATAACGACCAGTAATCAAGCTCAAATATCCATCGGAACATTACATTGGAGAAGAGCAAATACGGACCTTTAAAAAATCATCAGGGTAGGATCAGGTGCTATGGAGGAGTAAGCATCCCCTGTCGACTGGTCACACCCGTTGTTGCTCATTGGAATAATTGGGTAAACGGAAAATCCGATAACAATTCAGTGTGAAAATAATGGCTTAACATGATACTGTTGATATCTTTGTATTATCAACTTATTTGTCAATAGCTTGCCTCGTTTTAGAAATTGTTCGTAAGTAGAACATGATCTTACGTATCAACTGGGAGACAAAAAATCCATATACAGTTGATAATGGTATATTACTACATAATTAAGGGAAGTGGACGATAGAAAAGATGAAGTCATCACGTTTATCACAGTTGTTTTGGTTAGTTTGTCATTAATGTCTTTCTCAAGTAAAATATCGAAATAGGTATAATAGATCTAAACACATGTAGTGCTCTTATATCACATTTTAATTGCGTGCTCCTCCAGTGTTCGTCAAAAACGCGAGAGAATTAAACGTTGAAAACCAAAAGTTGTCATCAATCACCTTTTTTTTATAAACCTTTTACCACTCTGTTGGGATGGGGGTTATTTTTCAACGGGGGTCAATTTTTATAGATTGCACATGTAGAAAATTGGCCCCTAGGGTTCTTTTTCCACAAAAATTACATTTTTCTACGGCAGGGAAGTCATTATTCAACGTTGAAAAATGACCCCCGGTCATTAATCTACGGGGGTCATTTTTCGTCTTTACACCGGTTATATTTCTAAGTCCTGTAGGTGAGAATTGATATCTCGTAATTATGCTGACTTATGCTGTTGCCTTTACATTTCAGAAATTACATTTCGATAACAGAAACGATTTTCAATGATGTATTCTTATTAAAATTAGAGTAGCGACCCTTTTAAAAAAAATGACGTCAGATTTGTTGTGTCTCCATCACAAGTGATAGCATCGATAGCAAAAATACATGTAAAACGGAATTGGGTGTGAAAAAGTAAAAACTGCTCCTAGATTTTTCAAAATTACTTATCGAGTGTGGGTAAAATTAAAGGATAGATTGGGAGCCTAATTTTAAGTTTGATATTGTGAAATTGAAAGAGACTCAGTAGGCTAGTTGAGATGTTGGGACACTCAAATTAACAAAATTCAACTATTCCGAATTCAAACATCTCTATCATTGACCGTTACTTCTTGCTATAATACAAGGTTAAGGGAGCCTTCCACTGTTTAAATAATAGCCTTTTTGTTGTGGACTCTATATCATTCAAATATCGTGCACCCCTCCCATATTTTTTGTTGCAGACAGGTGGAAGTCAGCATGTTTACGTCATTGCATAAAAAAATGCCAAAAATTTAGAAGATCCTACCCGCACCTGAGTTTTGACAATTTTTGATTTTAAGATCACCTGAGTCACTCAGGTGATCTATTGCTTTCTATTTTTTTTTCTGTCTTCGTGCGTACGTCGTGCGACGTGCGTCGTCCTCGTGCGTTGTGCGTTAACATTTGAATATTTTCAACTTCTTCTCTGGAACCGTACCCGTTAAACCAATTTTAACCAATTTTGGCAGATACCATCAACGAGTATTCTTTTTGGTAATCATTCATTAGATCCGTTTTGAGCTTTGTTAAATGGCTTAATAATAGACCACATCTAATGGACTAGGGGGAATGTTGGTTTGAGCATTTCGAACGTTATCGTTTGCATTTCATATGTCCTAATAAATTATCTATTCTTAGTATTAAAAAGATTGTTTTTGTATATATCAAAGTCTTTATTCAGTTCGAATTATCTCTACAATAACAGGCTTGAACAGATCCATACTAAAGGTTTTTATGAGATTGCTTACTATGGTAGAAAATATCGATGTTGCCTTAGCATTAATATCGTAATAACAGAAACGTTAAAAATAATATTATTTTTATTTTTTTTTTCTTTCATCCTCAGCGTTTTCCCATGTAATAACCCGGCAACAGTTTGCATTATGTTGTTGAATTTCTTCATAATGATTAATGACATGAACTTGTTGTTTTTGAACACACTAATTTTTATAAAAAGCTCTGTTCCAGGAATTTTGAATAGTCTCAAATGGCTAAAACAAGGAAGTCCTCTTAGAATTGGGATCTGGGGAAAGAATTGCAGCGGATGAAATTCAAACAATATTTCCTGAAACGGAGCAAAGTTGCCTTAATTTAAAATGTTACGAGCTAAAAGTATTAAAAACTTTGCTTAAATAATGGTAAACAGAATATTAAAAGTATTTTTTTTTTCTGTTTTTCGTGTATATAATGAATGTATGGATACTAGTTTGAAATATAAGCAATATTTGGGCAAGGCTAAGAAAACATGAGAGGGAATGGATTGCCGAGCCCTCTGTAATTTTCATCCATTTATCCTGCAACATTTTACATATATACGACCTCCAAACTGAGCTATTATCAACAAATTTAGCAGTTGAAACCATGAAGCCATAGCATAAACAATGCAATACTGATGACATCATAACGCTTTTAAAGATATCGAAATGCAGGAAGCTATAATTTGGCATTGACAAACTTAGCTTTCGTTTAGTCGCTTACCTTTAATAGGGTCGGAAAGTCTCGTTTACTTTCATTTTCGATTTGCAACTTCCGGGCAGCAGACCAAGATGCCGCTGTGTTTTGCCTTCGGGTGTACCCATATGACTGGCGCGAATCGAACATGTAGTTTATTCAGATTTCCTACAGATCCAAAAAAGAGGAAGAAATGGATTGATAGATGCAGGTAGACAAATGATAATACTTATTTTAACAAAACATTAAACTAGAAAACCTGTCTGATAGATCCAAGCCCCGTGTTATCATGGTTATAGGCCTGTACTAAATAAAACTTTGCAGGCGCAGGCCTTATATATACATATATATCATTGTATTTACAAGGGAATAGTTATAAATTTAACCAATTAGTAGAAATTGTCAGATGATTGTTTAAGAAAGGAACAAAGAAATCGTGGCTTGACTTTTCAGTGCAAATTAATCTATTTAGAATTATTTTAAAATTATCTTCTGTATTTATATGTCTTCACTCTGTCTCAATCTTCATGATTAACAGAACTTTTAAAATCAGCTGGTATCATACATAATCTCTCAGACAAGACCCATATTAGAAATGCTTAATGTCCAATTTATTTTCATATTTTTTATACTTAGTAATGTGAAATGAACTCTAAATAATAAAGAGAATACATGTGTAACAGAGTTAAAAGTGGCTATGCATTGTATATAGTGAGGCCACGCTCCTACTAGCACTAGCTAGTGGGTTAACCCTTTAGCTCAGTAGATAGAGTGTTGGATTTTAAATCTGAGGGTTGTAGGTTCGAGCCACAGTGTGGACACCCCTAGCTAATCAGTCATATTGGCGCCCAACTACAAAACCCACATGGTGAGTGGTGTTTATAGAGTCTCGTGTGTGAGATTTCTCAGGGGTAAGAAATCTCAAGAAAAAGAAGGGGGAAGTGTAACAGAGTTAAAAGTGGCTATGTGTTGTATATAGTGAGGCCACGCTCCTACTAGCACTAGGTAGTGGGTTAACCCTTTAGCTCAGTCGGTAGAGCGTTGGATTTTAAATCCGAGGGTTGTAGGTTCGAGCCACAGTGTGAACACCCCTAGCTAATCGGTCATACAGGATACGATGTAGCATTACACCAAAAGTTTACATTAAACATATGAAAGTAAACTAACTGCTATTTATAGATGTGAGTTTAAATAATTTTGTACAAACAATTTTTAAATTATTAATTTGATTATATAGTATTGAATTTATCCTCAACCTTTTCAGGAGAGCAGATAGAGAATCCAATAATAATGATCGAATTTGCAGTTGCCACTTTAAAGATGGGAGAAAAGAGAATGGGCCGACAATTTTTGTATACAGCAAAAATAATTGCTTTCCTGACTTTGTCGAGCCAAAAAGGTAAATATTTCTTACTTGACAGATCTTCATACATAGTTGCTTTCTAAAATTTATGTCAATATGACTCTTTTTCATCTCCTCCTTCATTTATGCATATATATGTATCATTTATATGTAATGTATATGAGAGATAGCTTGGTTTTCAATGATAATTGTATATTTATAACTATTATTTTTCTTAACTTTTAAAATATATATATTTGTTTATTGAAGAGCATAAAAATAATATTTTACAGACGCAAAATTACTGAAACAGGAACAGAAGGAACCCTCAATGCAGAGCAAACCAGACAAGCAGAACTAAACCACAATGACCACGACTATGCAGTTTCTGGAAGTACTGAAGGTAAAACAATTTTCATTTTGGCAAGACTTTCACTTATCACCTGATTTATCCACTGGGTCATGCTCACAAAAGGTTTAAAGTATTGGAGCCCTTATATTTTCATATCAGTTTGTTTTGCATGCCCTGTAAGATTATTGTTTGCAAAGCGGGGTATATGTTGCTATAGCATTTCATACTAAAATATAATAAAAATCTTATTTCTTCTCATAGTTATTGAAACTTCAAATTTCTGAACGCGTTTGATTGACACATCCTTGCACTTTCACAAATTTAATTTTATTCTTAATACTTAAGAAAAGTGGCAATTTTGTTGTGTATTAATGAAAAATATTAAAACTATAATCCAGAAAATTCAGAGTAGAAATGTTCGAAAGCAAAACCCACTCACAATATTGTCAGTCCGTGCTCAGTGGTGTGTGCAGACTTTAACAATTGAACACACCTGGTGAATCGTAAACATTAACAATAACAGAGCTCGTGCCCTGTTTACAAAAACAGTTTACGTTTCACGGGTTTATTCAATTTGTTAAACTCTGTACACAACACTGAGCACGGGCTGACAATATTAGTGAGGGGGTTTGCTTTCGCACATTACTACTCTGAATTTTCTGGATTATAGATGTAATGTTTTTCATTAATACACAACGAAATCGCTTCTTTTCCTAAATGTTAGGGATAAAGATAAAATTTGTGAAAGTGCAAGGATGTGTAAATCAAACGCGTCCAGGAATTCGTAGTTCAAATAATTTCCAGATAAAATAAGTTTTTAATTATATTTTCGTGTGAAATGCTATTGCAATATATAAGTCGTGATATTATACAGAAAATTTGAGAAAATATTAACTTCAAATCTGTGTCTAAGCACCTTTAAATGCCTACTATGGTTTAATGTTGATATTGCTAATATTGTTTTGTAATCATTACAGAAAGTGTTGATTTAGCAGAAAGAGTGAAAGAGCTCCAAAGAGAATTAGAGTCACTAAAACTGAAAAACAAGCCTTTACAATTTGCAACATAATACAGGACGCAGACAAGGTATGTTATTTGAGCATATTTTTATGCCCCCTTAATCGAAGATTTGGGGGCATATAGATTTAATTGTCGTGTCCGTCCGTCTGATTAGCTGTCCATCAGTCTGTTTGGCCGCAAAAAATTTGACCTTGCCCAAACCTACTGATTGGTTGGACCTATGGCTTTCTTGTATCACATATGTATTCCTTGTGATGGAGTTTGACCCACTTCTGCAAAATTTTACTAAACTTTAACCTCGGCCATAACTTTTGAGCAGTTGATGCTAGGGCTTTCGTACTTTACAAGTGGATTTCTTTTTTTGACAAGACCTTCCTTTAGATACCAACATCTTTGACTCCCTTTGACCTTGGAGTTTGAGTGACTTTTGAAAAACTTTTTACTTTGGCCATAACTTTCAAATGGTTAGTTCCAAGGTTTTCACATCTTTGTGAAAAGACCTTCACTTGGATAGCAACAATTTTGACCTTGACCTTTAAGTCTGATATACAGTTGAAAAATTTTAATCTTGGCCATAACTTTTGAAAGGTTGATGCTTGGGTTTTCATATTTCACAGATGTATTCTTTGTGACAAGACCTTCCCTTGCACTTGGGTACCAACAATTTTGATTTTGTTTGACCTTTGGAGTTTTATTTGCATTTGAGAAGCTTTAACCTTAGCTATGAGCTGCCATAGGAGGGCATCAGTTTCACAAACACATCTTGTATTTACTGATTATTGCATTGTGTTTTAGAAAGCATCTTTATTTAATGTTGATATTCACTGTTGATTTTATGGAACTGATTGTCATTTGGTGTAGATATATAGTGCTTAACAAACGGCAGTTGGTTTTTCATCTTGAGATGTAAATCAGACTCCATTTGAGGCGCTTTAATTGATGTTGAAAATGACAGTTTTTACACAAGATGTTTATTTCGTATAAAAATAGTATACATGTGGCAATATTCATTGATCATAATTTATAAATGGTTGTTTTGCTTTGTTATAGATGCTGTTATATACTTCATTTCCCTCAGAAGGTTTCAATATACTGGTGTCCTTGTTGGAAAGAATGGGCCCATTCCAATACTATAATGGATGGACGGTACAAGGGATCAGTACCAGTGACCAGCTCCTTATGACTCTTATGAAGTTACGCCTTAATTTAAGGGATCTGGATTTAGCAGAAAGATTTAACACCAGTAAAAGTACTGTCTCCAACATATTGAATACCTATGTTACAGCGCTGCATGAAATTTTATTTGAAGGAGTGATGAAGGCTGTTGGGATTCCCTCCCAGTTAAAATGCAAAGGGTCAATGCCCAAATCATTTGAGGAGTTTTCCTCTGCGAGAATAGCAATGAATGCCACTGAAATCACACAAGATGTACCATCAGACATGAATAACCAGTCGCTATCTTACAGCAACTACAAAAGTCGCCATACAGTAAAAGCTGTCACGTGTGTTGCACCAAATGGTGCTTTAGTGTATTGTTCAGAACTTTATCCTGGATCCACCTCTGATGCTGCCATTGTTGATCACTGTGGTGTATTGGATATGTTGAAGCCAGGTGATATGATCCTTGCAGATAAAGGCTTCAACATATTTGATAAGCTTCCACCAGGAGTGACATTAAACATACCACCTTTCCTGTCGTCCAAATGTCATTTCACAAAGGAAGAAGCACAGCTTTGTTACATGATTGGGAGAAGTCGAATTCATGTGGAGCGAGCAAATGAAAGAATCAAGAATTTCCGTATTCTAGATCATATTCCTGCACAATACAGACATCTTGCCACCAAAATTTTCCAACTGTGTGTAGCTCTTGTTAATTTGCAAGCTCCTCTATTGAAGGAAATAGCAGAAAAGTATGAAATTTAGAACTGGTGTGAATTAAAGTAGTACACAACATCTAACTTGTATCTTTTCAAACATGCTAAATATGTACACAAAATCCCTATAAAGTTTATATTCATTATTATACTTTCATGTTAACTACTAAAATCAGATTTGTTTAAGAAATATTAAACAATTTGTAATGTTATCCTAAGCATTAGCAACACACTTGAGAATGGGTACATGTAACACAAGGATAATGTAAAATTATGCGCGCACAGTTCGTCGTAGAATTCTGGAAACATCAGTTGTGCATTTGAAAGAAGCCAAATAAACTTAATATCAATCAAAGCTTGAAAACAATATGTTTATTTTTTTTAGAGAAAAACTGTTATATAATTCACATGTATTGTAATTAGTATATATGAACATTACATGTATATATGCTACAGTGAATGTATACTGTGGCACTTGTCTAATCAGGATGTTGTGTATTCAGAAATCATGCATAATATAATTATATAAACTTAATATAAACTGTACGTCCCTTTCAAGTAATTCAATTGTTTAAAAATGTTGTCTGACCCTATGTACATAGATCTCATTTTAATGATATTGCATCTTTAGAATTGCAGTTTGTATATATTTCTTTTCTTTTACTTTTTTGTGAAAAGGACTCAATTGTACATCTTAAATTACTTATTTTGTTCAAAATTTTCACACTTGTGATGCATGCTTAAGATAATGATTGCTTTGATCATTAGTTGCAAAAAATAAACCATGATAAAAATTAAACAGTTTGGAAAAAATTAAAATTCTCTTTTTATTTACTGCACTAAGGGAAGAAGGCAATGTAAGAGATCTGTTTACACTAAACATGCTTACTTTGGTGGTATTCATAATTTAATGTCTTAGGTATTGCTTCATGTTCACTTATTTATGGACATGCTATTAGCAAGCACTACTTGTCAAACAAAATACTAATCGCACTGAGATTATGATTGTGCTTATCATACTGAAGAAGAGGATTGAGCTAAATTTTGAGTGCACCAATATACATGTATGCTCATGTACAATATAAAGTCAGTCAAAATTTTACTGGAGAGAGGGTAGAAACACATTAAAGTAGAATTCAATCATGTTTTTCAAGTGAATTTCCCAGAATTCATCTCGAAGGATGCGAATGACTTCCATGCTTACTGGTGTCCAAACTACGAAATCACAACAAGTGGTGCCTGTAAGATAAAGCTGGCCTTGAACTTGGTGCCAATAATCATGATTCTCTCTAAGATGCAGGACACCCTCAGAGTCACACTCTAAAATGATTTCAAAAGATTGACATCTATTCTTTCACTAAAATAATGTAGGATAATTTTATCTAGACATATAAATCATGAAAGATGGTTTCATCAAAGAAAAATGAGAACTAATTTACATATACCACTAAATAATAAGGCTCTTTTAGAAAACTTTCAAATCGGTTTGTACTTACCTAGAAAGAAATTTTTCAAATTTGTACAGGCATCCTTGATAGACATTGCTCTTGCAGAGAAAGGACATTTAACCTCTATAATATCTGGTGATGCGCTCACTTTTCCTTGAAGGTGAACCTTCAAATGTTTGGGATCACCTTGGACAAATCCATCAGGAGAGGCACCAAGAACACCTGATTCATGAAGCCATATGCCTGAAATTAAAAACTACAATATAAATTTAACCATATTTGTTATGTATGTTGTTTTACATACCATTGGGTAATTTTTTTCACTCATATCAAGGGCTTCTAATTTCGACCTTTACTCAGCATCATTATGCAGTGACCAATCACAGAGTAAACACAACTAACTGAGCTATCATGATATATAAGAGGCAAAATTCCATACTTAATAATGGATGTGTTATCAATCGTATCTTAATGATGGAAAAAAATCAAGGGAATTAAGTAAATATCACAAAACATGTACATAACATCGCAAACCATTTTCTTCTCCAGTGATCATTAAAGATGAAATAGATGTTATGATGAGAAAACAAAACAAGCATCTGATGTTGAACGTAAATTGTTTTATGTCACAAAGTTGTAGAAAAGGACCAGTTCATTCCAAATTATTACTTAAGGTCACTACTGATGCAAAATTTTACCTGTTTTGCTAAAAAAATACTTGCATCACAGTAAATGCAGGTAGGATAATTTTTTAAAAACATTTAAATTGAATTTGATAATTGTTTACCTGTCTCTAATATCGAGACCTCTGAAAGTTTACAATAGTCATCTTTTGCACTCTTTTCATGTGTACGTCCCCACTGAATAGAAGCTCTTTTCTCAAGATTATATGCACTGAGTAATCTTTTCTTTAATGATACTGAGAGCCTACAAGAAAAAAAAATGAATTTCATAGTTTTAATTTAAAATTATTAATAAAAAGACCAAACATTAAGAATTCAGTAATATTATTTTTAAAATGTAATGCTTTTGTACATTAAATAAACCACTGTAAATTTTATTTACCGATTTCTTCTAATAGCACCAATAACTTGTCCAAAATTAGATGCAGTAATTCTCAATTTGCGAACAGCTGCCCAAAAAGAGTTCTCTCTTTGTCCTGTAGTCAGCCATGCTGTTTCAATTATCTTTTCTGAACAAATGACAAGTTTCTCCCTATGTTAAAAATCATATATATATATATATATATATATATATATATATATATATATATATATATATATATATATATATATATATATATATATATATATATATATATATATATATATATATAATCTGTTTTTACACCTTCATTTCTTTAAAAACCAAAAATAATTATGAATTATTTCAAAGAGCACAAGTTTTTACATACTCTGTTTATTTGAATTTGAATACCTTAAATAAGATGACTTGCACTGAACATTCAAGTACTCTTCACTTATGAGCTTGTCTTCAATAAGTAATACTGGCATTTCCTCACACTCAGGCTCATTTGATAAAATCCAGTGCAAAGCTGCAATAAATGAAATAGCAATTACCATTACATTGGCCACAACTTTCAACATATGTTGTAAGTTAACGCTTGTGTTATGTACTTTATTTAGCTGACAATATATGTTTGGTCATTGTGAATAGTCTATACTTAAAATACCTTATGAATTACAATGTATTAATTATTTACTTAAGAAAAAATGAAAAACATTTAAAATGGAAATAATATTTGTTCTAGGTCAAAGAAATTACAGGTAGATGATATATGTTCTTAAAATATATGCCACACTAAGTTGACATGTTAAAAAAGAAAATTTAAAAATGATGAAAGTGGTACATAAAAAAATTTGTAACTTTTTAAAAAATAAATGAAAATCCATTAATAACAAAAATGTAACATTAACTCGAAAATAAATCATAAAATGAGCCTTGATTCAGAGGAAACACTTTCCCTTGTGACAAGGATGAAAAAAATATTGTTCATCAAGCAAACCTGTAAATCTACCCAAATGACCTAGCTGATCATACAAATATGATCTATCTGCATCTGTCATCTCTCTTTTTAATGCTCTAAATTTACATGTATATACATCAAGTATTCATTACAGAATGAAATATTCAAATGAATAACACAACCTTTCATTTATTATTTAATTACCAAATATATAATGTACAAAGGTGCTTGTGAGTTACCTATAATCTTGCCTGGGTGGATACATTTCCCCCATTGTTGTTATGGCTTTAGGAGGAGCAGATTTAGGATGCTTGATCCAGCTGCATCTCACATCTGTCTTGCTTGCCCTCTTATATCTAAAGGATTATTTTATACACTAGTTAGTAAAGCACTTAGATTTAGAATAGACAAAAAATAAAACACACAAAATATAAATATTGACAAATTCAGCTGAAATAAAAAAAAAATCGGAATTCAAGGTGCAAAACTTTTGCAAGTTTTAAACAAATGAATTAACAGAATATGCTTCATGTACCCAAACAGAAGAGCTGCAGCTACATGGTGGCAGCGAAACTGGCCCATTGGACATTCACACGTCGATGACTTAATAGTACCAGTACTGTTTTCTTCATTTTCCAGAAATATCTGTTAAAAGTAAAAAAAAAAAATAAAAAATAAACAAGTCTCTGTCATAGTGTTGCAATGATAGTCGCAGACTATCGAAAAATCATCCCTGAAGACAGCAAGTCGGCGACAATTGATAGAAAATTTTAAAATCAATAGTTGCTACATTTTTAAAAAAAATGTTTTAAATACAAACTGGTTCATCTTTAATCATTATCAAAGGATATTCCCCTATTTCTCTTGCAAATGGCAGACAAATTTTCCTACTAAGTATAAACTGAAGTTGATCTCATAGATTTGTATTGAAATATTGTTTTCATCTTCAAGGATATCTGAATATTTGCTGGTTAACTTTATTTAACCTTTAAATTAAAGTTAAAACCATCGATCATATAACTGATTGTATGCTACTGATTCAATTTGATAAATGATAGTAAATTTGGTCAAATTTTGCAACACTAGTCTAAATCTACATGTTTTACGGAATATTTTCAGTGAATTGTAAACATGATGAATTCTTTGGGCGAGGTGGAGGAGGCCAAGACGCTGGATAACCACAGCCCGCAATTAAAAAATAGTTTAAATCTATAAACTTTACTCAATTTTTAGTTATAAACATTAAAGATCTTGAACAGACTCTTAGATATAGTTTGAAATTGTTTTAATGTATTGATGCGAAATCGAATGTATCGATACATACCTGAACTTTGTAAGATGTGTCTCGCATTGACGCTTGCACAACCGCAGTAATAACGCGAAACTCTTTATCTAACACAAATTTTAAAACCCTGTCGCTATCCACAGCTTTCTCACTTTTCCTGGTAAGTTTTGTGTGGCTTTCAACGTACCGAGCCCAGTACATTATTGATAAAGCCATCCTGGGCAACTGCCCGGAAGTAAGTTTTCACGTTATATCTCGTGAGTCACGTGACGAGACTTTCCGACCCTATTGGTAAATGCAAGCAGTGCGTGTGCAATATGTCTATAAAATATATGGTTATTGTGTTCAAATAGCTATACACGTATACGTGATAGAAAACGTGATAGAGGACGAGGCTTGCCGATCCCTCTATTGCGTTATAATTTACGCGTGACGAGCCCAAATATTGCTTATATTTCATATTTCAATATTCCCCATAAAATTAAACTTTAGATTCTCATCCTAATTTGCTTAAAAATTGGGGTGGGGGTGGATTTTATTTCTATATCCTATTAATGAAAATATCTACCTTAAGTTTTTCTTATACTTTGTCTTCCCCCCATTTGACCCCAGGGTGAAAATGAGAATTCCAAAACCTTATTGCACAACTACAGGACACCACCAATTATCTTCCAAAAGATGATTAGGCTATTGCATCAAATGTAGAAGGAGTTCTGGGAACCAGGCTTTTGTAGAAAAAATGTCATGTTTTTTACCCTGTTTTGCCCCAAGGTTATTTAAAATTCCAAAACCTTATTGCACATCCATAGAACACCAAATATCATATGCCAAAAGATTAATTTAATTCTACTTAAAATGTACAAGTAGTTAGATTAAGAAGAAAGTGTGACAGACGGACGGACAGACGGACGGATCAGAGTAACAACAATATACCCGAACTTTCTTTAGGAAGTGCGGGTATAATAGAAAATAAAATAAAAAACAATGGGGAGGGGCACTTTGAGGGCCGAGATGAGAATCTAAAATTTATTTATATCTGACCTTTAATGGAATTTGTTTATCCTGCAACATTTGTCCTGCAAAGCTAGCTATTTTCAACAAATTTTGGCACATCTCTGTAGTTTAATGCACGAGGGTATATTTCAGCATTGATCAAATATGGTTTTTGTTTATTGGGTTACCTTTGTTTTGGGTCAATGCAAGGGATGGTTGCAAGATAAAAAAAGAGTTATCATTATTAGTGTTTGTTTACATTCTATTTGTTGGGTCTAAATTTGCGGTCCTTAACCGGCCATTGGCGTCATCTCAACTGGAGTGAAGAAAACCCTTAAGAATGTATAGCATATAATAATAACATATCACTTTGTATTCTTTTAAAACTATAATGATATGTTTTATGGTGTGACCGTTGGGGCGAGTGCAGTTGTACCATCAAAAACCTTTACACAGCTTATACTTGTAAACTTTGATCCGCCTCTTCAAACTTCCAAACCGCACGAGACCCAAGTCTAGACTGTGACGTCATATGACGTTGGAATTGACGGAGACAGCCGAGCGTCTGGTTGAAAGAGACTACAAGGCTAGTGCAAATTTTAACGAAATACGTTGTAGAGTAAATCAATTATTTTTTGTGAAATTTAATCTCTCGACAAACTGCAGGGCCTTTTATATTTTATATTATTTTTATCGCCATTATCGCATGGAATCCTGGTAGTAAGGGAATTCTGGGAAGGTTTCACATTAAAATTTGCCTGACGTATATGTCATTCCGAATTTGCTCTGTTCTTACACGTTAGTCTATTGAGCTCGCTTCGCGCCGCTTGCTGCTCTCGCTATTATTAGAACATGATATCTTTAGAACTTTTAACAAAACACTGGAATATTGTTATTGTAGCTTGTTGAATAACTCTGAAAAAAAAATAATATCCTAAAAAATAGAACTTTTATGTGACCTCCTTGTGTTTACAATTCAATAACGAAATTTTATTTTTGTAAATTAAGTATTGTGTATATTTTTAAATAATATGTTAAACCATTTGGATTTTATCGCATTTTTTATGCCTGTAGGACTCTTTCAGTCGTGGAAAACGAAACAACGAAACTGCTTTCTTGGATTTTCTTGGATTTTCATTTATAAGTATTATTCAATAGTATACTGGTATTTTGAAATATTTTGTACATTTTCCGGTTAATTTGGATTGAGATCAACAAAGAAAAAAAGCAACAACATGAATATGTTTTTTTCCGAATTATAAATACTTTTCCACATTAAGGGAAAAACCTTTATAGTATAATCGGCCGCTGAAATTATTTATTGTACATTAGGGGAATGTTTGCTATATAGTCAATTTTTTTAGTCAACTCGGAAAAAGTATGCTTTAAAGTAAAATATTGGGTAAGAAGGTTTGCTATATAAATGTAGCAATTATTCTGAGTGGGAAGCTTTACTGTTTATAATTGCTGTAAAGTAAACATTGCTAACGTTGTACAGAGAATGTTTATCATAAGACAGGGACAAAGGCAATGGAAATCACAATGCTCTTGTACCATTTATCCATTATTTCTAAATACTGAATGTAGTTGAATGCAGCTTACATTAGAGAGAGAAAGCTAACATTTTCGAAAGTTCAGAAATGATACATTAGGCATGACGACAAAAAGAAACAGACAGCTATGTAATGAAAGTATTGAGATGATAAAAATATATATGTATTTAGAAAAACACAGTCTTTTAAAAATACATACTAGCTTGTAGCTAACAGAACTAGATAAAATGAATCTTACATCAAGTTCGAATAATCCTTTTACAAATAGATCAAGAAAAATTTTAAACTTAATCGTCAATTTGGTGGAGGAAATTATAAAAGGTATCAGGATTGTCCACTCTTTTTGAAATTCTAAGCAAAAACTTTATTTTCAGTGCTAATTTTCGCGTTTTACGACCAAATTTGGATGGATTTATTGCGCTATATAAATTGCAAAAAAAGGATTAGAAAAAAGTCTTTCTATAGTATGCCTTCCAAACGAAAAAATGAAAACTGGAGCAAATGTAAACTTGTTTGATTTCAGAAAAAGATAAACCTATAAAATATACTGTTATCAGTATCTTTTCATGTGGTAAGTGTTAAACCCTAAAACTGTGTTTAATTATAAACGTACATAAAAATCAAAGGAAATTATGGTTGGTCACACAATCAAACAATCCATGTATTTGCCTAAGTTGTTAGTTTATTGAAATACCGGTAATTTCTCCATTTTTTAAAAAAAAGATCTCACTCATAAAATACTTTTAGGGGTGTTTGCCTTCATTTTTTTTTTTTTAGTTTACATCAATACATTACTACGGTACAATTTTTGTCTCACATTGCTAACATAGTTTTAGCGAGAAACATGCTTCTAAATTAAAGGCAAATAATCAATTGATTTGAAAATTTAATTGAGCAATTTTACAGTTGTATAAAAAGGTAAAAACAAAATTGCCTTTGTTTCTTCATACGTAAAATCAAGAGAAGTTCTAAGATAATTAATAATGCAAACGGAAAGGGGATCCTACATCTAATTTAGAGTAAAATAAATGGTAATCGATGGAAATTGAAACATGCTATTTTCAATTGAAATTACAGTTAGAAAGTATCTTTACACCTCATCCATGTGGATCTTAAAATGGCGCAGAGAAATTTTACTCTGGGGCTAGATATTTTACTGTGGCACCAAAAAAAGTTTACTTTGCTGCATGTACACAATCAGTAAGTTTAACGGAGAACCTTAGGTATATAATCTTTCCAAAGAATAATTGTTCTGTGCTGATTCGTCGACTATGAAAGATTGCGTGCATTTTGATGCATTGTGAACAGTTTCCTCTGTTCCAGATTTATCCTTGTCCATCCCTGTCCGTAGGGTTGAAGATTGGGATCTTTCATTTCGATTGCAAAATTTGCGCAGCAAACATATCAAACTAAGTAAAATGATGGCAACAAATACAGTCATAAATGCCAGTATCAATTGAGTTTGATCAGTTTGCTGTTCATCTCTATTACCTGTAATGATATTTCAAATACACACTGCATATTAATTTAAAACCTTAAAGAGAACATCTCTGCCTGTGACATTAGTGAGTATTTACTGAATATTACGAAGGCTTGTTCTTAGGTTCATTATATGTGTACACAAGCAGCTTCAAATTAATTTATTTCTTTTTTTAAAGTATTTTTTGCATGAGCCTTTATCTAAAAAAGTATACAAAACACATACACGCACACACAACAACAACAATAAAATACTTCAATTACTTACTTATAGGTTTACACCGAATAATAGGATCGCATCTACTAGAATTGTAACAGATACACTCATTTTGGTACAATCTCCCGTAACTTGGTGGCGGACAAAGCGTTTCACACTTTATTCCATGATATCCGACTTGACACTCTGTTTTTTTTTTTAATTATGCACGACTAGAATTACTAACCATTTGACCTTTAACTTTCTTGTACAAATGGTCCTATATCTTTTGTGGCAAGTCTTAGAAGATATGTCATTGAAGACGGTTAATAAAAGTCAAACCTGTTCAGGCGTTTTTCTTTAGCTTTTTTAATATCTTATTCAATGCTTTTATGATTGATTGAATGTTGTTTTACGTCCCTTCGAGGATTTTTCACTCATATAGAGACGTCACCATATCCTGGTGAAGGGTTTCATATTTTACCTTTACTCGGCACTCAGGGCAATTGAGCAGTAAGGGTTTTTCACGTGCCAACGCCTAACGTGACACGTGGCCTCGGTTTTTAAGGTCTAATCCGAAAGACCCACAACTTTCACTTCAAAGTGCCGAGCGCTTGGCGAAGGAACAGTAGCTACCTAATTTTTATCGACTAAGGACAGTGATTCGAACACACGACCTTCCGATCACGAAGCGAGCCAATGCGTCTATAAAAGTTGTCGAACAAATTTCTCGGAACAAATGCATTTTCAATGACTTTTTCCTTACTTATCGACGCATTCCTTGGTTTCGTCGTTCCATATGTAATCTTACTGGAGATTGGAAATTAAGAACGGGTTCATTATAAAAGACACAAGATTTAAATCTGAATTATTAATAAAAATGCACTTTTCTGAAAACAAGTATTACACTTCAAGGGATGAAAAAAGTCTATGACACTAACATTTCACGTTCCATGACGTGAGTCCCTTAATATTTAATGATATGAAATTTAGACAGAAACACTCCAAAACAATTATTTAAGAAAGGGAATTATGTTCTTATTTTCATTTTAACCAATGCTGATATATAGCAAAATTGATATTGTTCAAGCGGCTTTCAGAATCAATAAAATCAATACATATATTTTATTTAAGTTGTTGTATTAGAAAACAGGCGCGTCAATTCACATCAGTAAGAAGAAGAGGAAGAGGCTGATCTGTGTATGACATATTTTGGTATCGATGATACCAGGAAAAGATTTTTTTTTATAAAAGATATCTTCTATTAATTCCAATGCTATGAACATTAATTAAACTAAACTTGCATTTTTGGCGGAAAAAAATGAAGCCACCTAGTGTAGCACAATTTATGTACGTCTTCTTGTTTCGAAATACAAATCCAGAAGTCATAATAACTCATTTTTCTTACCGAGGATCCGTTCCAGAAACAGCTCAAGCATGTGTTATAAACAATTTTACTTTGTCCAACGGATCCGGACATTTATGTGCTCCGTATTGTCACAATGACTTTCTTTGTAATGCTTTTGACATTTGTTTCACAAAGGGGCAGCATGTGTGCCGTCTCCGCTATGGAAAAATGGAAGTGTTTCCGCATTCCACTTCAGACTGTGCTTACTTTGAGGTGGTTCCGGTAAGTTTTTTTTTGATAGTTCAATTAAAAATTAGTGCATTTCTTAAAAAAAAAAATAGTAGCTGAACACAATATTTGAAAAACAAAAACGTGAAACTTAAAATCTTGGAAATTATGATCTAAAAGTGGACTATTGGATTAAGAACAAAGACGCGTATGTAAAGTTAATTTAAAAAAAAGTCCCAATAGTTTAGATTGTGTAATTGCTTGGGAAATGCGAAAGTAATTGTATGCCTAGGCTCCTCTGTCACAGTGATAAGAAATTGCATAAACGACTTTTCTGTTAACTATTTTTTTTTTAGTTTAAGGCTGCCGAACGGATATTAAAACATTGAAATTTCTTCATGCAATGTAAAAGTAATATTTCAAGAGCATTGAGATCGTGTTTTTGGTATAAAAATATATCGAAAATGACAATATGAGTTGTGTTTTTATACGCAAGCATGTTAACTTCATTAAAATGTCGAAAATTGGCCTAAAATATGCTAACATTATTTTAAACCTGCCGAAGTACTGCCCTAACAAAATATTTTGGGATAAACTTGGGTTAAATACATTTTATTCTTTGTCAAAAAATGTAATACTTAAATCTACTTATCTTTACAGTTACAATAACATATGTAACATATCACATAGTTAATAAAAAGCTGTCAAATTATGGGTATAATTGATAGCAAATGTACTCGGTACAGTAATCAAAATTTAACTTTGCTTTTAAATTCGAAAAAAAATAATCAGTAAGTAAAATAAAATTGACAAATGACTAGACTGTTTAAAAATAAATAAATAAACGCTCAAAGCGAGGATATCGATGGAACCAAAAACATATCGAATATTCACCGTCTTGGTCAGGTAGAGTACACCACTCTGATACTATAGCTGCACAAGTTTTCGGGTTTTTAAACGAAAATGAAGCACAGCATTTACATGTACACTATGTAACTTTTGGGGAAAAAGTTAAGGTTTAATGGTATCTGAGTCTTCTTTCCTTTATTATAATTATCATTATTATTAATTAAGGTCTTCCGTCTTCAGCGGAAGACCTTCTTGTTATTCTTTTGTTTTTCACTTCTATTATTATTGTTTTTTTTTCTTACCGGTTTTGTGCACGCGATTTCTCGAAAACGGCTCTATGGATTTCCATGAAACTTTCAGGACTTAAGTAACATCAATTGAACCTTATGCGTTTTTTTTTTCTGTTTTGATGACGACACTTCCGGTCTGGAGATATTGCCGAGTTAATGGTTTTCGAAGGATCGGGTTGTCCCCAGAGTTTCTCATATACGGCTTTAGTTAGAAACATGAAACTTTCAGGTATGGTAGATCTATGTCTGTAGATATGCATAACGCATTTCATTTTTACCGGAAGTGCCGCACGTCGGTGCTCGCTATGGCCCCAAAAAAGTTCTATCGGGAATTTTAAATTTTTTAACACTTTTTCTATAATATCTTTTTACCTGTAAATATTTTGTTAAAACATATAGAACAAAAGTTGTGTAGAATGTAACGATCTTTTAAAGGATACCAACAATAAGGGCCTGGCCCCTAACATTAGGGAGCTAGAGGGGCCAAAAGTGTTTTCCTGATATCTCAAAAACTATTGAGAATTTGTATAGCTTTATAGAAGAAAAGTTGTTCCAAATGACAAGTAGCAGCTAAGGTGACCATTAAAAGTCGTCAAAATGACGTCACTTCTGGTCACACCGAGAGTAATGGTAAATGGCTCATTTTTGCACATATGACCGTAGAAGTCTCTCGATCTCAATCTCATCTCCTTGAGATTTAGACGGAAGACTTATTTGTTGCTTTGCAACAAGCTTGTCTAGTCTTATTCTTATTTTTACAAATGTTTGTTCGTTTATTTGAGTTAAATTGTACACAAATGACGTTTTAAAATAGTGAGCGATGACCCTGAGATAGCAAATTTAAAGAAAAAAGTGCGTATAAATGTAAAAAAAAAAATTGTACCAAATGACTTATCTAGCCATATGTCAAAACATATTTTAGCAAATCGAAACTCAATATTCGGGAAAAAATTCCCTTTTTTATAACACAACAACCCGAATCATTAATAGACTGCTAAAGATCATGTGTCGCAACTATGAAATTTTCACTTTTCAAGTGCGCCGAATCCAAATCCAAAGTTTCCGCGTTCTTTGACAAATTTTGGGCCAAAAATATGACCCTACACAATTTTTTTTTCTGCCTATTAGTTTGTAAATGATGCTATATGAAAATATATGAGAGTTTAATGAATAAACAAAAGTATCAACTGCAACAATTTATACAGAGAAAGCTGCCTAATCCGACACCTGTGCAATCCGTCACACTGTGAATTCCGACGTTAAATTTCTTTCCCATTTTAATATTTCTCAAGTGTTTTACACTGTGCAATCCGATACCATGTCTATTCCGACAGAAAACTGTCTCCTAGTGCATGTCGGATTAGACAGGTTTCACTGTACTTTGAATACGTAAAAAAGTACCACAATTCTTATTTTTGAGTCAAGTTTAGTAATCGTCACATACTTTTAAAACTTTTTTCTTTTCATTAATATTTTAATATTTCTTATAATTATAAGTGAGGAATGGCGACGATAATCCAAATTATAAAGAACATCTTCCTAAAAAAAGGACATTTCTAGACTTTTTTTTTTTACACACATGTATTTTATCCTGGTATCGAACATTTGTTTGCAATAAATATTGTACATTATGAATATATCGAAGAAAATTTTTATATAAAAACAAAACGATTTGACACATATTTCTATTATTAAAGGAATTAAGCTGCCCTGAGGGATTCTTTCTACGATCTAGAGGAGTCTGTAAAAACAGTAAGTAAACATTGAAAGAAAAAACAACCATAAATGATAGGGTGATAATGACACAATTAGTCAACATATTCTATAAATAGTCATTTCTTTCTAAGCGAGGCATAATATTAAAATTCTATTATTCTAATAAAATGTTTTCAAGACGGTTAATCTACTCACCGAAAAATGTTTCCCTCTTTTAATTTCTTTTTAAAATCATTTTCTCTCATATGCATATGCACCATGGATATAGAGAGTATTGTATGTATAGTTTCATAGGGCGTGGAGGGAAAGGGCGTAGAGCGCCGAAGATTTCCCAAATCTCTTGAGAATGTATTTTAAAAAATATTCATTCATTATCAAGGAGCATCATTATCTTATGCTTTATAGATGACAAACACTTGTAGAAAGAAGACGGAAAATTCAGATAATTGCTTTAAATATTTCTTCACTCAGTATCGATATCATTATTTCGTTTCTATGTACTTCAGTTTACGGACATCTCACTTCACTTTGTTCTAGACAATCTGGCCTTAAAAAGCCCTGTTATTATGAGCTCTGTATTTGACGATCCTGATTATGCCGACTTTCGACATGGTGACGGTAGTTTCGCAGTGAATGGAGAAGTGAGGTCTGACGACAAAGAGTGCGCTCATACTAACGAAGAATCTCAGCCTTGGTTGACAGTAGATTTACTCGACCAGTTTTACGTCAGACGGGTTGTATTTGTAAACAGAAAAATATGGGGTAATTTTGTTGTTTGTTTGTTATACATGTATCCCACCTAAATTAGGATTCAACAAACTGATGATGAAAGGCTGTTAATATACTCATAAATTAGATTTTAAATGCACGAGGGGTGATCAGAAAGTTTGCGAACTATCTCTATATTTACAAAACAACAATTCAGATGAGAATGAAATCTGGCATACATATAGTCATACACATGCTCTATAAATAGCAGATTTTTTGTGATGTTTTTCTTCATGTTTGTGACGTCACAATTTGAAAATGATGTCTTTATGTAGGTGACGTGACAAAAAATGATTGACCCAGTCGTACTCGAGCAACCAACGGCTGTAAAGTTTAACGTGTATCTTGGAAATTCCTTTGCAGTAGCATACAATAATTTGTACAAGGTTTATGAAGACAAACGAATTGCCAGAAGTTCATTCATAAATTGGATTGATTGTTTTAGTGAAGGAAGGGAGAAGGTTAAAAATGATGATGTTTGTTCTGTTGTCTAGTGAAAGCAATCTGGGGAAGAGATGTGTCCTTAGTTGTACAATTTCTTAAGAAAGATTGCAAAGTTACAGTTAGAAAAAATAGTTAGATATTTTATCAATAATATAATTATTAAATCCCTAAAATGTCGTTTACTTTAGACTTTAAACACATCAGATATGATAAAAAGAAGGCGCTAATACTTCATCCACATTGGATAAACGACGCTCCCAAGACAGAGGACTCGGGTTGTGATGGTCACCTTGCTCATTCTGAGAAAGGATATCCTTATCCACCCATCCTATTGCCGAGATTTGGCTATTTCTGACAAATGGACTATTCTTGTTATAAAAAATAATTCGCATGGTAAGAAATATAAGACTCGGAAAAAATCGTTTAGCTTCTGTGAACAGATCTCTACGGAACATGTCACGTGACCGCCTGTATCACGTGATTCGCGCATGGGCAGAACGGTGGCAGATGTGAATTTAAATTGGAGAGGACTACTTTAAAAAATAATGAACATTGAAACCTAATTTCATTTCTTTTATGGAAGTAATTCAATTAGTTCGCAAACTTTATGATCACCCCTCGGAATTCTAGTCAATTCGGCACCTGGTAAACTCGGCACCTGGTTAATTTGGCACCAAGTAAAGTGAATTAGGCACCTGGTATATTCGGTACCTAGTCAGTTCGGCACCTGGTGCATTCGGCATCTAGTTAATTCGGCACCCGGTTTTGAATTATTAAGAATATAATAAATACTAAAAATTTTTGAAGATGTTTTAGATAATTATCTTTATCAAACAGTTTTCACGGTGTAGTACATAAAAGGTTGCTACTGGAACAAAAATGCATTCAATGTTTCTTTTCGAAAAAGGAACGACTGCTAGCTGATATAAATATATTGGAGACACTTGAAACAAATTGTAAAACTGTCAAAAAGTGACCCCAATTCGTTTAAGTCTCTGATTAATCCTTGTACACGTAAATATACGTAAATATAATAAAAATATTTTTTAAAGTGTATTTTGAGAGAGATTTCTGGACGGAACCAGATCTTGTCATGTTACGGTTGCTATCAGAGTTTGGTATGTATGCACCGGTTATAAACTAAAAAAGATGCACCGGCCGCTATTTGAAAAATATTTCTTAAGGAAAGAGAAATTCAACAAAATTGTGCTGCCTAAATTATATTCCTTACATCTCAAACAGCATATGAAACACAACATTTAGTATACTATACGAAGGAAACGAAATTTTTTTTTTTATTGAAATGAAAGAACTTTACCATCTGTACTTCAAATCCTTTTCAAAGCATGATGCTTCTTTGGGGATTTTTGTAGCCTACATGTATACTTAGACTTAAATAATATCCAGAAAAGCTGAAGTATATATAACCTTTGACTTTTTTTCCTCGAAGCGCAGTAGTGCATACGCTCTAGCTAAAGAAATTACAACTAACAGGCAATATTCAAAACATCAAATCTTGAATGGAAATTTGTCCGACCCCCCCCCCCCCCCTCCAAACTTTTGGATTTTCATAGTTATACAGCTAAGAGGAGACACGAACCACTTCCTTGTCTCTGCCATGAAAGGAAGTTTTTCAGACAGAGAATTCTTAAACTTTTTTGCTTGTCAATTTCCTTAGGTTGAATTGTATATCTCATTTTTTTTTTTTTATTTTTGAGTGGGCTTGGATCCCTCCACCCCTCCCCCTTTTGGGAAAAAACTGTAGATCGGAAAACTAAAACGGCTGTCTAATATTCTATCTAGTAAGTAACACATAAAGTATATATGATACATTTAAAGGAAAGAGCATTACAATTATTAACAGACATATGTAATCTTTTCCGAAATAGAAAAAAGGGGGAGGGGGGGGGGTTGTGATCAATTCCACTTTCGTTCTAATTTTCAACACATATATATTTTTTGGACATTAGGAGTGTTTGACCATACTGTACATCAAAAATTGAATTTAAAAAAATTTAATCAAAATTTACAGCAATAGACTCTTCTTGGAAAAAAGGGAAGGCCGGGAGAGAGCAGGCCCCCCTTTCCACGTGCTCTATGAATATGTTTGGACAGAACCGTTTTAAAGAAACATTTTACCCTATTATGAGCAGGTTTTAACTAGCAATGTGCATGTTATTGGTTTAATTATCAATGCCGTACGGCAAAACATTATTCTTTCTCCCTTACTACTAGTATTTCAATTTAGATTTTTTATCTAGATTTTTTAATTGAAAAAAAAAGTAAGATCATTAACACCAATTGAATTTAATTCAATATAAAGAAAAAAGATTTTAAATCGTTCAAATTAGGATCTAATTACAGCATATATATATATATATATATACACATATAGCTCCGAGTAATCTCCCGATTTCGTGATATTCTCCGAGCGTTTTTGTTTCAGGTCTAAAAGTGTACATGGTTAAAACATTTTTAGTCGCAATACCGAAAATATGTTTTTGTTTTAAATAATGTTATGTTTATGAGATGCTGTAAATGTACAAAATAAATTTGAGTACGTTACGGAAATGACTGTTACGGAGATGAAAAAGTTACCATTGATTTTTATTTATTTATTGTTTTTAAATGATTTGTTTGTACAGCATCAGGCTCTTTATTTTCACTTGATAGGTCTTAGACTATATGAAAAGAAATTGATATAACGACTCCAGTACAATAAAAATTCCTTTCAAAGCAGCAGGCTTGTTAGGAATCTACAGGAGGTCGTGTAATTAAGGTTGTAAATATGATGCAACACACGTGTTAAATGACCATCGATATTTCATTACTGAATGTTGAACATTGTAAAAAGATAAAACTCTTTTACGCCAACTAATGGCTGCAGTGGGAATTAAAAAAAGTACATTTTAAGTTTATGAAGTAAAATATACTATGAATTTTGGTAGGGCACGAATTTGGTATTTAGTTTCGGTACAGTTCTAAATTTTCAACAATATAAAATTTGTAATTCTCGTCTAAGGATTTATATTAATGTTTATTAACGTTGTCCCAAAGTTGAAAAGATTATTTTAATGCAAATACATTCCCAGATTATAGTAAGGAGAGTTATTTTTTTTTTGGAGTGAGACAATTTTGTTGGTATGGTGTCTGTAAATAAATTGTGAATTATGGGCTGTGATTATATATTTCAAAAAGGACATTTGATAAAATTATCTACTTGAAAAACAATTTTATGTCTTCCCTGGTCAAAAATTCGTTGCTTCATAATCCAATTTTTCCTTTAAGCATTTCAACACGCTGGCATAAAAAATTACAATTTTGAATAGCACAGTTATTATGGACAAGTTTTTTTTTTCAAAACTTGGTTAGATACATTTTTGTAAAGCAAAGGACAACGGGTTATTCTGAAAATAAACTTCCATTAAATTTTCTTCTATTTTCCACTAAAATATTTACAAAAATCAAGATTGGTGTTGCTTCAGATGCATATTATTTAATACAAAACGATCAAATATAAAGACAACAACAAGAATTATAAAATTCTCTACTTAAGGTAATTACTAGTATTATATGCTTCCTTCTTTGGCTTTAACTTATCTATACCCGCAAAAATTTAGCGAGACTGAGAGAGACTACAGTATATATTTATAAACTGATAATTCAATTTTGTACGTTTCAGTACGAATATTAGAATTATTCGAAATTTTCTTTAAATAAAAGGTCTTTAACAATATTCCTAATTGAGTTTTCCACAGATGAACTTTAACTCATTAGATCTATACTTTACAAACACGCATTTTTCTTTTAAAAAAAATGACTTTATTCGTTAATAAAAATGATCGAAACACCTTTTTTTCCTGTAAAAGCAAATAACCAATTAATTACACAAAAAATATTAACAAACCATTCAACAATTACACGGTGACCAAATTAACACAAATAGGCGCCGAATTCACCAGATTCTGATGCCGAATTCACCAGGTGCCGAATTCACCAGGTGCCGAAATCACTTGTACCCACCCCTCGTATATATCTTTAAAACATCTTTTCCAAATCAGTAAGGTTCCAGTAATCGTATTGATATCAAGAATCATAATGTACAGTTCTGTTGATTAGATTTAAGGTGGATTAACTTACAACGGACAAGGTTTTGGCCAAACAGTGGTTAAAAAAATCATCATCAGAATAAGGAGAAAAAACTTTTATATAAACAGTCTGCTGAAAGAACAGCATGGTCATCTTGAAGATTCAGATTAGCGTAGAACTTTGGGGTTTTTTTTTACTTGTATGAGGCCAGTAATTTTTTTTCTATTTACTATGTGTACATATATAAACACAAGTCCTTGTGATGTGAGATATTTTCTACAGGGAAAAGAAAACAGATTTGGTAGTTTTGGTTAAATATATGTTTCATGTTGTTTTAATATTAGAAACTAACCCAGTGAAATAAGGCTTTTGATGAACATTTAGACAAAAAAAATTAATGCAAACATTTATAAGATATTTTGTTTCTGACCTATTTAGAGGGGCGTTTGCACGATTTGAACGTTACCGTTGGAACAACTAACATGGCCTTCATCTGTTTCTGTGGATTCTTTATTGGTCCTGGAACGTCCCATCAGAGGGTGGATATGGCGTGTGAAGAAAATTGTAGAGGGCGCTACGTACGTCTGCAAATAACAACCCCTGTTCCGGAGTTTTTACAGCTGTGCGAAATTGAAGTCTACAGTGATTGCAATATCTAATCTCATATTAATATCTATAGCGAAATAATATTTACGTAAACTATTGCTTTTTATATCAAAAGTGTAAAAGTTTGTTTAAGGATCATATTAAAACAAAGTGTTTTTTTTATTCTTGTAGTAAAGCAAAGGGTCATGTTTTTCTCCTGGTAATAACTAAAGTTTTTTTTTTATTTTCAATGCAGTTGAAAAATATATGTACAGTTCATCTATTTCCTGATGCAATATCTTGCATATTTAAATTTCTTATATATTTTGATATTATCTCTAAGGAAAAAATTTCACTTATCATGAACGATTTGGTCAATGATAAATATGGTTAGAAATAGAATATTAAATGATCTACTTTTTAATGAATGAATTATGTTAGTGGTATTGCCTATGAACTACGTATATTACATCCAAAAATAAATACAACCAAAGTTTACATGAATGTTGTTGAATATCATTATTAATACTAAGCTTCTTTGTGTTAACGTAAGTAATATTGTTTACAGCAAAATCCCATTAACATTAAACCACGCGATTCCTAATAAGGAATAGCTAGCAAATCCCCCCCCCCCCCCCGGAGCGCAGGCATGCAGTCATGCATCATTTCCCCTGAAAACGGTAGACGTAGATCTATCCATAATATATGTTTAAAAGTAAAATTAAAATAAAAAATACGAGCCAACGTTATACAGAAAGAGAAACAAAAATCACAACATTCGTTCTCCACTGTAAAAGTTTTAGTGCTTGTCCGATACCCGACCGCATGAGGGACATTCATATATTTGAATTTTTTTTCTGTTCTCTACCCCCCCCCCCCCCCCCCCCCCCGCAACGGACATGAGGGGGGGGGGAGATATAGTAGCGCACTTGTGAGAGAGTGGATTACTTAGTGAGTTCGAGCATAACAGATGATTCACATCGGGGTCGATGTCATTTTCTGGCTTGTTTAAAACAGGAATGTGTTTTTTGCGAGGGGATAATCCGCCTTGTTAAAGTGTTTTGAATCATTTAAATTTTGTGGTCTTGAAAAATCATCATACAATTATGGACTCACTTGGTAGTTAATATCATGGTTTTTTATCCACCAGAAAAATATCAATATTGAGTAGCAGGGTAAAGACATTGTGTTTAAACAGTAATTGACATCCACTGACGATTAAAAAAAACACTTCTTTTATCAATCAGTAAGTGCCGGTTTAAACTTGTTTTCATGCCACCTGTATAAATGTATTATGCACTGTGGTTTCCAATCAATGAAACTACCAACGACGTACATTTTCAAAAATACAATATCTTTCTTTGTAAGTATGGGAATTAAGAGTTGCAGCTATTGCAGAAACAATAACATAACCCGCTTTCAGGAATTACGTTTTTTTTCTGCAACCGCTGTAAAGTTAATTTCCATTTAAAATACAAAGAAAGCATTTCATTGCTAAAATTAACATTTCAACTAATTACTCCCATGATCTCAATCTGGAGAGCCTTTATTACCTCCAACCACACCATCTTTAAAAGATCTTTAAAAACACTAACTTATAAACATAGAGAGTTTTTAAAATTGACTCTTTCTTAACAAAATGCTTTCAAATACATATATGTTAATTTATATGTAGTTTAGTTTAATTCATTTTTATACTTTCTTTCATAATGGAGCATATCTCTTTTGTTGTACAGTTTAATATTTATGTATTTATTGTTGGTAGCTTACAACTTTTCGGTCATAAACTCTCAATTGATCTGATTTTACTGTCAGTAGAAGTAGAGTGTGTCGTAGTTTAAATTCTTTGACTTATTTCTGAATTAAAAAGTGTATTGATTTAAAAAGTACTAGAAAACGTACTTATATTTTGGTATGATCAATAACTTTGTTTTATATGTAAACATGTACCAGAAGCTTTTACTACATGGTTTAGTAAATAAATTGCATTTCTCTATAGTTATTTTTGCATTGTTTTTTTAATGGTGAGAAATAACAAATACATGTAATTACATGTTAGTAATTAGAAGAAAAAGTATAGAATGTTTAGTGTAATAACAATTATAAATCTATTTAACTAAACTTACTTAGTATTTTGTGAGATATTCTTTTTGTCGAATAACACTCAATAATCACTTAAAAATAATTAATACAGAAATTTTACTAAGTCTTTAACGCAGCTCTGTTTCCAAATATATAGTCTAGATTTTGAGGAATAGATCCTAAGTTACTCATGCTCCAAAATCTGTATCTGCTGCTTTCCCAGATTTCCTACGATGTTGATATCAGGGCGCAGACATGGATATCTGGAAGTTTTTTCTCGTTTCCATCGAGTTTGAGATAACGAGGATTGACTGTATTTATAATATTTTTACCTTCAAATAGAGAATACCGGTATTCCTCGGGAATGCTTACTTCACACATTTGCAAAAATATATATATATATATATATACATGTATATATATTGAGAAGGAAACATACTTTACTAGCTTACGCCACGACTTGTAAGAACCAGGCTTATACATGTTCAGTTTTGGCAAGAGTATTCAATAGATTGCTATTCTGCGGTAGGTATCGGCCGGGAAACACTGCTTCATTTAAAAGATACTTCCATGATTATATTACGACTGACTTGTAGTGGATCACTACAATAATTTTGCTTAGACCGAATACCAATTCTTACCTAATTTTTTTTTTTTTTTTTTTTTTTTTTTTTTTTTTTTTTTTTTTTTTGCGTTTTTATGAATTTTGCTCTTTTTGACTGGTAACTGACTTTGATGACTTTTTGCAGGTAAATAATTGTGTAATGTTATTAAGCATATAATCTTAGAAAACTTTCAGCCTTAAAATGTAGAATAAAATAACAAACGAAGATTTTCTGTCCTTGAAGACATATCTGGGGTCGATGAACGTAATTGATATATATACATGTATTTTCTATTTACGTCTACCGTTCACGGTAGCTCAGTCGGTAGAGCACTCCCTCCGTGATCGGGAGGTCGTGAGTTCGAATCTCGGCCGCGACAGACCTAAGTCGATAAAAAAATAGGTAGCAACTGTTCCTTCGCCATGCGCTCGGCACTTTGGAGTGAAAGTTGCGGGTCTTTCGGATGAGACCTTAAAAACCGAGGCCCCGTGTCACGGCAGGCGTTGGCACAATAAAGATCCCTCACTGCTCAATGGCCCTGAGTGCCGAGTAAAGGTCAAAATTTGAAGCCCTTCACCGGTATATGGTGACGTCTCTATATGAGTGAAAAATTCTCGAATGGGACGTAAAACAATTTACAATCAATCAATCTATTTACGTCTAGAGGTACTTTCTTCTCCTGATTTCTACATTGATTTTTTTCTTCAATATTTTACAAAGTGTGTTATTAACATTATTACGATAAGGTCGTCTATTATACATGCAGTACAGTTTTGAACAAGGATAAATGCGAGTCCCTATGAGTTTAAATTAAAATGCCCGTTATCTAAGCACTTGATGTATGTAATCGATTGTCTACTTTGCATTTTTTTTACAAACCCCTTCTTACCTAGAGATTATATTTGCCTTCTCTTTTTAATAAATCATTTACAATGACAATACTATCTTACAAGACGATTGTATGCTAAATAGGTTGTGTCAGGACATAGGACAGAGGTGCATCTTGATCAAGTATCTCGAAACTAGTGAAATACATTGAGATACTCGTTTTACGTAACTTAAAATAGCGTTTGATAGGATCAACAGGTAAGTTCGTATAGTCACTTTAATACAGTCTCCTGAATTTCAACAAAATATTTTAGTTGCATATTCTGTACAAAATTTTTGTTTAAAAAATGTGACAATCGATAATGCATTACATGTATATCAGTTTTAATTGTCGGGATCATGTGAATGTGACAGCATATTTTCAAACCTATACTTTCCATATAACAAAATATGTGTGCAATGAATGTATTTACGAATTATAATGAATTTCAAATAATAATAATACTTAAATCTTTTGAAGATATTTGAAGGAAGAAAGGGATTCAAACTGCATCTTGGCACTATGGTCCAGAAAACAACGAATTTTATGCACCAAAACATAACTAATATTTGATTTTATCTCAATCTTTGACAACGTTGTATTTATTTTAGACCCTTTCAAAGTGTATATTAAGCATACATTGTCCTTAAATAATCAATAATAAATCTACTGTCCTAGTCGCTTGAGAGCAAAATCAATAGTATGCAGCCATTCCATGATCGTTAGTACACAGTGACATCTAATCACCAAACATAAAAAGTTTTTGAAAAAAATATACATTTGCCTACGCTCTGCAATATGTTTTTATGTTCATTTATTTACATCAAAGTATAGTGCATTTTTCATTTGTTCTGTTCAAAATCTTTTTCCCTTTCAAAATATTTTCTTTTCTCGTAATTTTTGAAATGCACTTTTTCTTTAAATATCTCTCTTTCTTTTTACTACAGTGTACATTTCACATTGATGATGTCAGAGTAGCATTGTGACATCATCAGGATTTCAGCTCATTCTAGCAGTGTTATCTTATTCAAAATACATGTTAGAAACTTCTATAATTATTCTATTCATGTTTTGCCAATGAAACTGTAGTATCAGGTAATCCAACCCTCAGAAGTTATGATATATATCAGTCTAACAAGCATTCTGAGAGTATTGCATTAGCAATACTAGTCCCCTACCGGCAAGTGTAATCTGGTTCTGTTCCCGTTAAGAATTGAAAATGCCATAATTCCGTCAAAAATCAATGAAGCGGGACGAAATGCAAACTTGATCTATAACTAATCAAGGTACAGCCACAAACCAAAAATCAGCTCAATATCTACAAGCGTTTAGAAGAAAATTGTGGAAAACCCGTAAAAATTGAAAAGGCCGTAATTCCGTCAAAAATCAATGAAGCGGAACGAAATGCAAATTTGATCTGTAACTCATCAAGATACACTCACATACCAAAAATCAGCTCAATATCTGCTAGCGTTTAGGAAAAAAGTGCGGAAAACCAAGTGGGACAGACTGACAGACAGACAGAGGGACAGACAGACAGACGGACAGACAGACAGACAGACAGACAGACGGACGGACAGACGGACGGACAGA